TGCTTTTAAATTGTAATTAGATTTGATATGTTGTTACCTGCCCAGAGTAGATAAATAAATAAATAAATAAATAAATAAATAAATAAATAAATAAATAAATAAATAAATACTCTAAGTTTACTTTGATATCCCATTTAAACCAACTTCACTAACTTAATTTCAATACCTTTCAATTGTGACTTTTTAGGAATCATGATTAAAGGTCAGATCATATATTAATATATTTTAAAAAACAACTGCTGGATAGCTCATTAGTTTAGTTCGTTCTCTGGCTGTGGAGCTATTGGTTGAGAGTTTGATACTGTACCCCACTGTGCCTCTTTGACATGAGCTGAACTCGATAATCCGTAGGGTCCCTTTCAGTTCTGGAGTTCCAAGATGATGATGATGAAGAAGGAAGGAAATAGATGTGTATTGCTTTGATTTGAAGCACAGTATTAGTTCAGTTCAGCTACTTGTGACAAGTTAATGTTGAAAATCTTCAACCCTCCCTATCTATAAAATGGTTGTGATGTGGCAGGGTGAAGGCAAGAGTTTCAGTACACCATGTGGACAAAAATCAGCTAGGGATATTTTTTGCTAATAAACTACCATCTGCCCTCTATCCGTGAGATAGAGCCTTTTTTGTGGTAGTACCATGCAGGCTTTAAAGGTATCTGTTTTTAATTTAATGGTTTTTAATCTTACTTATGATGATTTTATGTTGATATGTTAATTTTGTGTTTGTGTGTGTGTGGATGTAGGTACACTGTGTTAGCCTTGAAGCAGGCTTTGCCTCAAAAGATTGTATAATTCAATAATGATGATAATGATATGATGATGATGATGCTGTTTATGTGTTTTTTATCTGAATTCTACTAGCATAAATCCATTGAGATGGTCTTCATATCACACAGCTCTTCTTTCAAACATTTCTGAAAGTATAATGTGTATTAACAAAGGGAGTCTTAAAAGAGGAAAAAGAGATTTTGGAAAGCTCTGTACTGAAAGTGGTGTATTTTTCAAAAGAAGACAATGGGTACCTTCATCTGCCAATGTATTGTTTGTGCTTCAGGGCTACACTGAAGCTGTGCACAGATCATCAAACAACTTTTTAACTTACGTAAGCAAGAACATGGGACATGGTGCTGCTGCAGGCCAAACCGAAGAAGCCTGTGCTGCAGGGTCAGAAGACCAGCAGTCATAAGATCGAATCCACGCAACTGAGTGAGCTCCCATCGCTTTGTCCCAGCTCCTCGCCAACCTAGCAGTTCGAAAGCATGTAAATGCAAGTAGATAAATAGGTACCACCTCGGTGGGAAGGTGACAGCATTCCGTGTCTAGTCGCGCTGGCCATGTGGCCACAGAAACTGTCGGCGGATAAACGCTGGCTCTATGGCTTGGAGATAGGGATGAGCACCGCGCCCCAGAGTCAGACACGGCTCGACTAAAATGTCAAGGGGAACCTTTACCTTTACCTTTAAGCAAGAACAACTAAAATGATTAAGAGAATATCATATGAGGATTAGAACTCTATAAAGGCCCTTAAAGGAACATTTTATATCTCTCCCCCCACCCCCGAGTCTTTGCATCAATAATGATGTCACTTTTAAAAGCCTTTCTACCTAACAGTGTCATATACATCTGCATGAACAAATGAGTAACTTTTTCTATTTTGGAAAGTGTGCAAACTATTCAGGATATGGGGAGTGGTAACCAAGTTGTTTATTCAACTATCATCTCAACAGCTGACAAACACTAGGGTTAATCTTCACTTGTAAAGAAGCAGCATTGATTTATGGAGTCACAGTAGTTTTAATGCTTTTTTTATTGTGAGGGCACTGAGAGTAGTGCTCATTGAACAAGGGATGTGTATAAGCCTATAAATCTTTACTAATTTCATACTTGTACAGGAGAATAAAACATTTCAAAAACCTTCTCTGTGCATTTCTTTTTTTTCTTTTCTTTCTTTTCTTTTCCCTATTTTAAGACTTCTAAAATGACAATTTTCTTTGTATGAATGGCAAAATGTTTTCAGCCCAAAGCATCTGGAGAGCCATATTTGCCCACCATTGGTTTAGCACATTCAAGTTTGTGTGTGTGTGTGTGTGTGTGTTTGTGCATACATGTGTGTGAATGGGGAAACCAGTACTTAAAATGTGTCTAATAAACATAAATAATTCCAATTCGGTTCAATTCCCAAGTAAAGAGGCAGATTAGTCCGCACATTGAACCAATAAAATAAAGAAGGGGATGGCCATTTGTGATTTTTTTTTTCATTCTTGGGTCAACATTTCTGCTCTTGGGTTAATTTCACACATTTTTGGTTGACTTGTTGATTCTTTCTGTTGGAGTTTTTGCAACCTTGCATGCCTACACCCAGTAGGTGTGGCTGGGAGGGACTTTCTGGACTAGAGTGACTGTTAATCTAACCATTCTTTCCTTCTTTGCCTCTAAATTCAAAGAGAGCCCTGTTTCTCTGCTTCGAGCTTCTTTCCCTTCCCTACAAGTCCATTGAAAGCAGTCAGTCTGTTGCAGTCTGTTTGCTGAAAGCAATCATGTTTGCCAGTTTGCTGTTTGAACTGTTCAGTTGTAAGTAATGATACCTTTTATTCTTTCTTCTATGTTTCAGAGTGAGGTACTGAAGCTGTAAGAGCCAGTTGATGAGAAAAAGAGGTGGAGTAATCTGGGGAATTTGAAGCTATTCTCCTCTGTGAATCCCTGCACTTCTGCTGTGCAGCTAGAGGAATTTAACCAATAGTTCAGAATTCTGCAACACTTTCCAGGTCTGTCATCAAGCAGATTAAACCACCAGCCATTTAAAGGCAAGTCTTGCTGGAGCCTTGGGAGGTACCATCATTTGAGGAGATGACATTAAGTATGCCACATTAAGGTAAAGCAAATGGTGGGCACATTTCATGAAAATGGTGGGAAGCGAACATAATTTATGATAGAGTGAAGCACAATGAACTGCCCATGTCCAATTAAGTCATGATTGGAAATAGAAAGATCCCTTTTTCTGGTGCACTTTTCTTTTTTCTTTCGTTCTTGCAGAATATTTCAACATTACTGGAAACAAAACAAATTGCTATTTCGTATCCTATTACAGCTATGCTGGAAAATCATAAAGTCAAAATAGAAGCAGCTAAAGTCTTTAGGTAAAGGAAATGTCAATAGCATTGCAGAAGAAAAAAAATAAAACTCGTCAGGCTCAGTTACTGAGGGCCTCAAAAAGTGTTGGAAAGTGTTCTTTTCATTAGAAATAGTCTTTGCTCTGTGCACAAGGAGTATTGACTACTTAGGGCTTTTCACCAAGTGCCACAACCCTTAAGGCACATTCAAATGACTGTTGTGTATTACACTGAGTATAAAGGGTGGTGGATAACATAACTCAGATGCCAAACTGGCCACGACAAAAGATGTGGATTTGCATTCAATGTACATGTTTTTGTAATTCTATTTTTTTAAAAAAATGCAGGTTTACTGTGATGCTTCAGAGCAGTGTGCTTTCATTTGGTTTAAACCCCACCTCTCTGCCTGCTACAGTCTATATTAGGGGTCTTTTAAGGCCAGTGATGGTTGCTGGCAGCTGTCCCCCTCTGCCTAATGGTAAGGCCAAGTTTGTTACCGAAAACCAGTTGGAGAGTGGCAAACACAGCAGGCTATTGAGAATCATAGTGCAGTATTCCATATTGCTTATGAACTTCTCAGAGGAGTACCTGGTTGACGCTTGTGAGAAGTAGGCGGATGAACTTGGTCGGTCCTTGGCTGATCCAATTAACTATGTTAATTTCTACCAGGTACCTAATGTGGTGTCACCTTAGGATGCTGAAGGAAATGGCCACTGCTGAAATCAAGCTGCCCAGCATCAGCAATGAGAAGTTGTTTTAGGATGTTATGTGTTCACACCAGGCTGCTTCTTATATTCCCAGTATGTATATACACAAGGTGAATATCGTGGTCTAAATCATTATGCTATGAATATATACTAACAATCATGAACTATGATTGCTATAATGTCAACATGAAGTCATAGTTTTGTAGGATCTGTGTCCTAAGTATCTATTTGCAGCTCCCCAAAGGCTAAGGAGATGCCATTCTCAATTGGACTTACATTCTTTATTTTTTAGCACTTGTCTGGGTATCCTTTCATATGCTATGTTATTTGCAATGATTCAAAGTGTAACTAGGACACCTGTAGATGTTCATATGAAAGCAATCTTGCCACTTTTGCTATGAGTTAAAGATCAGGTTGCAAGTCTTCTCCATATGGAACAGTACATAGATATACTACAACTGTGAAGACAGAAACCAAATTGAAAGGAATCAGATCTGAAGACAGAAACCCAACTGTCAATTCAGTTTAAGCCTATGCTGTATTTAATCCCTTTCAAATAAAATAAAGCAATAATTTTAAGCATTTTGTACCGGCATATTGCAAACTTTAAGATATCCGGTGTTTATTTCAACGTATTTTATTCGATTCCTTCAACTGTAGTTAGAAATTGGCTTGAACACAATATTCTACCTACACAGCAGGCTTTTTAACGGATGTTTAATTTCAAGCCCTGGACCAGTTTAATGGACTGGCAAACCCTGGGTTATCTGCAGATTTACTGTTATTTCTGAACTAAATATTTAGAAATAAACCCATCCTGTTTTTGACCCACCATCTTGAACTGAGTACACTGGGCAAGTTTGAGAACAAAGTTATTTTCCAAAACTTTGGCTCAATCTCCCTTTGCTAGTGCAAGACCAGAAATGACCAAATATTTTCCTAAGCATTACTGCTTTTCTCACCTGCATCCATTTTGAAAAGAGAGGGTATTAAGTAATGATGGAAGATGATTTTACTCAATCCTTGATTTTATATTAACCACCCTAATTCACACTTCTTGAGATTAGAAACTTTTATTTTGTGCTTTTCTCCAAATTTTGCAGCGTTGTTCCCAGCCCATAAATGTGTACAAAAATGCATGTCTTTTGGAAAATGCAAATTTTAAAGAAATTTGTACAAAAATGAGGATTTTATTGAAAAATACACAGAATAACTAAGAGGCAAAACATCCATCTTTTCCATACTGGGAACAATTGTACCTATTGAATTTGGCCAGTGCAGATAGTTGAGAATTCTGTGTTGTTGCTGTTTTTAAGGAAGACATTACCAAAATTCATATGTTGCATTACAAATGGGGTGGAAAGAACAAGATTTTAAATATGTGTATATAACATATTCGTCCATGCCTAGCTATAGGCCAGGGAATGCGAAGTGCAGCTCATGTACCACATGTGGCTCAAAGGCCATTTCTGTGGTTTACAGGGACCTACAACCTGCTCAACCACCCTCTAGCTTTGGGAAAAATGTTTCAGCAAAAGTCTATCTTTCTCTGGTTCCTGAAGCATTTCGGGGGGGTTGTTGCTTGTATTTCTGGGCACTTCAGCCATTTCTGGGCAAGATGTGGTTGTGGCAGGAGGTGGGGGCACAAAAATATGGCTCCAAGGTCCACCAAAGTTCCTCTGTTGTTAATCAGAAATACTGTAATCACTTATTCCATGTCTTGTAGTATAATTGTTGTATTCTTACTCTCCCCCGTCCTCTGTCCCATGTCCTATGCTGCACGCATGACTAAGAACATGCTCTTTGGTGGAACAATGGAAAAGTAAAGAACTGGCCAAAATCCTCTTGCACAGCTATGCAAATAGTATCAACCTTTGGAGCAAACTGCCAGAATGTAAGAAATAACAGTAGACATTAGTAGTTGCACACTGAGTCATACAACTCAGTATGCAACTGATAATATCTATGGTGATTTTAACTTTGCAATGTTTGTGCTACATCAGTATAACTAGGCAAGAGGATTTGGGTTTTTATGTTGTAACTGAGGATGAGCACACTGTTTCCACTGCTGCACACCACACATTTTAAATAAATATTTTAATTCTATTATTGGCATTTACACGTAAAAAGCATACAGTTATGTTACAATTTTATCAAAATGCGAAAATATGGATGTTACATAAGTAACAAATGTAAAAAAAAGAAAGAGGGAATACTTTTCTTACTTTCCCTGAAAGTAAGAAAATGATTCAGTATAGGAAAATATTGATACCAAAAACACAGCTGAGAAAGACAGAAGGACAGAAAGAGAACCATGCCAACATCCCACTTTTTTCCTCCTTTTTTTTAAATACATAGTACAACAGAAGCCTCATGGAAACACAGGGTTTTTCTACAAAAAAAAACAGATTTAAAATGTGAGGATTTTCAACAGTCACCTACTGTCTGTGGACCTTGGAGTTTCCCTTCATTATTGAGTCATTTCTTATGATTTCTTTTGTACTTGAATATGCACATCTAAGTACAAAATATTTGTATATTGTACCAGGAATGAATGGTGAACACATGCATGTGGAGAATGCCACTTTACCCATTAAATATTGAACTAGCATTGAGAAAAATTGGTCCCCTTGGTTTTATCACACATTTTAAAAAGGAAGAAACAGAAATGCCTGTGCCATTCATAACTGATACAATATGTGCATTTTTACAAGACATTTGCTGTTCCATGTGTAATAGTTTTTATTTCCAATAAATATTTTTTTAATTTCAAACACTTCTGTCATAGAACATTCTGTGTCACAGCCAAAAAACAAACAAAAAAGGTCACTCCAAGGTCCTATAGGCAAGGCAGTGCTTACAACAGTAAACACAATAATACCAAATGACAGTGCTCTATGGCTTTCTAACACTTTTAGGGGCAAACAGTTCTCACAATGGCCCTCTGTGAGGTAGGTTTGTCATAACACCCTCCTCTCAGTTTTACAAATGGCAAAACAGATATGCTGATATTGCACAGATCATGCCAAGCTGGTATTCCATCTGAGATTAATTTAGAACTAATAAGGCTTGTTTTCTCTGGCCTCACCTTGCCCATATCCCAAACTGCCTGTTCAACAGATCTGACTGTTCATTCAGTTTGCTAATGTCCATCAGTTTCCACACTACTAGAAATTCTGTCGGTTGGGGAATATAAGGATAGACAATTCAGAAGTTCTCACACAACTTTGTCAAAAATAATAAAATCCTAAAGTGCTGATGAGCTTGAGTTGGTTTCTAGCACCAGGTGTATTGAGAACGTTAATACAGCAATCACTCAAGCTTATCGTTCATTAACGTATCCAGATCTAAGCAACCGCAGGATACAGGAAGTACGTTTTCAAAATTAATCCAACAGCATCACTTAAAGCAACCAATATGACAGATTCCTCTTGAAAATGTACTTCAATCATCATTTGTCTGCAGAATTGCTTCAAATACCTCCCACAAAACACATACTTCCATTTCAGAACCACATTTAAAAAACTGGGTACAAATACACTCTTCACAATAAACCATTTCATGTCCTTTTTCATTTAATAGAAATGATCATTATTAATTTAAAAATCACAAACCAAACACGGAATATAGAAATTTATTTTCAAAGGCCGCATGCCAAATATCTTGTTTGGAAATATAATGCATGCAGGAGAAACAAATGGAACTAATCCCAGTTAAATTAAACAACAAAAATGCATCGTCCATTTCAGCAGCATAATGGTGATTATTTTTACAATGTATCCTAACCACTGGCCCTGGGTAAAAAAAGAAAGAAATCTGCTCTTCTCCTATCCATAACAACTGAATGGCTTGAATGTTCCACTTCTTTGCATTTTTACAATCTCAGTACAGAAGTCCTATACATACTGTTCAGCTTCCCCATCTTTTGGTTGTGTTGTACCATTTTTGCGCTCCTCATTTACACTTGGTGCTGTCTTTTCTGGAAGAGATGCTAAATCTTTAAAAACATCGACATAATGCCCAAATCCTGGCCCCCAGTTCAAAAGGCTGTCCCAGTTGAAGTTCCCTCCTTGTGGCCCAAGTTTTGAAGGCGATGTGTTGTCATGAATGGCAGGTGTGCTGGCTTGTGCGCCTACAGGTCCACCACCCTCTCCCCGGCGGCCTGGGTATCTCCTAGGCTTCAGCCTAGCACCATAATTGTCTTCATCATCTGCATCCGATTCATTAACTTGAGATAATTTGGGCATTCTAGAGCTGTACACCATGGGTTTTTCCCTGTCATACTCCATCTCAGAACATGTAAAAGAGTCATGGGAATCACTGTCAGATGATGACTCTGGAGCAGGAATTCCATCAGCTGGATTCCGTGTTCTTGACAGTGGCCTTCTGCAGTCCTCCTCAGAAGAAGACCTTCCATGGTCAGCACTACAGATGCTCGGATTTCTGGGACGTGGTGTGTTAAGCCTCTCCACTTCTTCAATGGAAAGTCCTACAGGAGGGCCACTCTCTAGAGGAATCTGCCCTATTGGTTGCTTTAAGCGACTTCCTGGCCTGGAGCTATGAGTTGCCATCATCTGAGGACTCTTGCTTCTTCTCCCTAGTCTTGTGGGGTAGTTAAAAATGCCTGGTTGACAAACATCATTATGCATCTCCAGGGAGCTCCCTTCTCTTATGGAAAGATGCATTTCTCTTGCTGGGCTGTTTCTGTAGAAAGTTGATGATTTGGAAAAGGGAGCTGGGCTGTGACGTGAAAGGTGATTGGGTGTAGGGCATGCTGAATGACTTAAGGAAGTTGTCCTTAGACCTTGACTATATGAAGGCTGATATGTTAAGCTGCTTGCTCCGAGGGGCATAGGTGACTGTCTGGCAAACCCCAAAGGACTATGCCTCTGGATGGAAAATTTAGGTGTATGACTTCGGAACTGCTTGTAGTGCTGAATAATATCTGCATCTGAAGGAGCTATGCTGCTTGCGTTATCAATGTCATAGTGCTCTATCTCTGGTTCAGGAGAAGCTAGAGGGGCACTCGGTATAGTCTCTGTGTTGTGTGGTATATCCGTCTCATCAAAGATGAGGTAAGGGTTTTCTCTTTCAATTATATCAGGTTTAGGATTTCCTTCAGGCTGCTTCCGGATAGTCATATCATCACCATAAGGAGGTATATTATCAGGGTCATCGAAAGCATCATTCTCACTCCCCTTCTTTTTCTTTTCCTTTGTTTTCTTTTCTTCTTTTGGCACTTTTGCCTTCTTTCCTTTGCACTGATTGCATAGGATCAAGCTAAGCACAAGCAAAGCCAGCACTGTAGCACAGCTGCCAACAATGGCGGGAACAGCCCATAGTGGCAGAGACAGTTCTGCTGGATAAGGCTGAGGGACACATATATGGCCTCCATTAATTCCTGCTTTGCATGCATGCCCCTGGGCACACATAACACCAAGGCAAGCAACTACTGTCTCACATATTCTTCCAGTGTACGATTCGGGACAGCTGCAGATAAATCCAGACTTTTCACCAGGTTCACAGCTGCCACCATTCTGACAAGGGCTGGAGGCACAGGCTCCAGGAGGCACACACTTGTAAGTATACCACTGGTTAATGCACATTAATTCTCCCACACAGGGATTACTGGCACAGATATTGGGCCCTCGACAGCCAATCTTCACTGAAGGGTCTGTTCTAGATATGGTAGCAAGGCTGTGTTTTCCTATAAAGGGAAGGCTTTCTTCACCATACTTCAGGTAAGCAATGCAGCCATCAAAATCTAGGAAAACAAAGTGAGAAACAGATATTTAGAAGACATAAGATTTAAAACAAATGTTAACTTAGTAGGCTGATAGCAGCAGAAGGAAAGCAATATAAATGAGATGATTGAGAAACCCCCTCAGGTGTACAGCAAAAATGAATACTGTAAAATTCACCAGGTATAGTTGCCATACAAGTCTGATTCATGTCAAAGGAGGATACATTGTAGGCAGCTTTATGCAGCAACCCAGCAGCACGACACTGATAATAAATGGATGCAGATTTTCACCACTTGTTGCTCTTGAATTTTTAGAAACTTTTTAAAAAATCCCCCTCAACTTAGATTTGTTACCGTGTTTTTCAAAGTATCAGTAGTGCCGAACTATAAAATCAGCTTCTGCTTCCCCTTTAGAACTCAATAAAAAGGACTTTCACTTGAATGTGCTAATAGTAAAAATGATCTAATAAGTGTAAGTATACATTCTGTGTTGACTCTGGTTCACAGCCCATTTGTCGAAAGTCTGGAGATAAGATCAACAATGGCTGTTAACCTCACTTTTGAAACAATTATTGCACAAAGTGCTATGGAGCCAGAATAGTCTTAGGCAAATAACCATGTAACTTAACTGTTCTCCACATCAATACCAAGCAGAGTCACTCATTTAATTTTTTTTTAAAGCTCTATTTCAAATGGCAACATTTTTAATCTCCCCAAACATATTCATTAATTAATCAATTAATCAATCAATTCATTCATTCATTCATTCATTCATTCATTCATTCATTCATTCATTCATTCATTCATTCATTCATTCATCTTCTATGCCACCCATCAGTGTACACACTCTCTGGGTGGTTCGCAACCCATCAAAACATAATTGCGATCATACAAACAAAGAAGAAAATGTAATAAAAACAATAAAAACCTAATCTCTAGCTGAACTGACAACACTGGCATTATATTAAATATATACTAAATAAATTTAAAACAAATTTGAACATCCCAGATAAATGAATAAAGTACTAGTAAAAGGCAGCTTAATATAGTTTGGTTTAAATTAACTTCCTGAAAACTGAGAGGGATGAACCTATTTTCTCTGAATAACTAGAACCCTACTCCTGACTATTCAGAAGTAAATTTAATTAAGTTCAGTGAGATCAGAGTTTGGAAACACTAGTGATAGCACTAATACATTGCCACTTCATTGTTAAAGAAAATAATCTCATGACTCTTAAAATGTGAAAGAAAAATTAATAAAATTAATATTTCATGTTCATCACTAATTTAAACCAATCATGAAATAAAACAAAAAGTACCTAAGAGAAATACTGAATTAAAATAACTCGAAACACTGACTGAGTATTCCAAATACTTCCAGGGATTGTAAAACTCCACATTATTCTATAAATCTGTTTAACCTGCTTAAAAGAATTTAGGCATAACCTATACATTTGAAACTTCACTTTTCTTATTCTTGCAAGAAAGCACAAACAGTTCAGATCTCTATCCCCCAAATTATGAGCAATTTCAGGACCCCTCTCCCTGCCCAAAATGCAAGTGTTTTTGGTACAGAAGATTTTTGTATTTTGTACAAAAATCTTTATTTTGCACAAAACACAGATTTTAAACATAAAGCAGATGTCTGGGAAAATGCAAGTTTCTTGGGTGACCCCTGTCCATGCTTTTTGCTAATATTGCTGACAGTTTGTCTCTGCTGGATAGCTCAGTGAGACAGGCGTCTGGCTGCAGAGTCAGAAGTTGGGTGTTTGATTCTCACTGTGCTTTCTGGGAAAAGCTGCACAGTCCCAGGGTGCCCCCCCAAAGAAGGGAAGGGTAAACCACTTCTGAGTGCTCTCTACCTAGAAAACCCTGAAAGAGGTTGCCATAAGTCAGAACTGGCATGATGGCACATTATGATGATGGTGATAATGACTGTCACTCTTTTTAAAATCAAGGATGAGAAAAATGTTGCTTGCTTGTTACATTCTTAAGACAATCCACTCGGAATGAAACACTTTTTAAAGTCACATTTTAGTGGCACAGTTAAGGATGTGTTTGTTTGTTTGATTTATAACCCATCCATCTAGATGTGTTTGTTTGTTTGTTTGATTGATTTATAACCCATCCATCTAGACCAAAGCCTACTCTGGGTGGCTAATAAGACATAAAAGTAAAAGCAATATAATAAAATAAAAACAACAGTGGCAATATAATTCAAAATGGCAAAGTCATTAGATGATGACAGGAGGGAAAGTCTGCCTAAAGAGCCAGGTCTTCAGTTTGCTCTTAAAAACACCCGATGAGGGAGCCAGGCAGATCTCTGCAGGCAGACTGTTCCAGAAGTGAGGGGCCACTGCCGAGAAGGCCTGGTTTCTTGTTCTTTCTCTCTGGGCCTCCCTCAGCGTTAGGCCCCTCAGCTGCCCATCCTGGCTAGAAAGAGTGCTTTGGGTAGATCTACGTGGGAAGAGGCGTTAAACGTACCTTTGTTCCTAGAAGGACAATATAAATAAGCATAATAAACTCAGAACTAATCCCAGTGCTTTTCCAGATGGAGCCTGTGTTCCCCTTAAAATGCAAGATCCTGCACTGACTTTATTTATTTATTTATCTATTCGATTTCTACCCCGCCCCCCTAGACAGCGTCTACTCAGGGCGGCTTACAAATGTCATAAAATATTATAAAATACAATAAAACATCATAATCATTAAACAATTAAATCAATAATATGGTGTGTTCAAGATGGGGAATGACAGAACAAAAAGATAGAATTCAAGGACTGACAGAAGGGAAGGCCTACCTAAAGAGCCAAGTCTTTAAATGGCTCTTAAAAACACCCAGCGAGGGTGCCAGGCAGATCTCTGTTGGAAGGCTGTTCCATAGTCGAGGGGCCACTGCCAAGCAGGCCCCGTTTCTAGTTCTTTCTTTCCGGGCCTCTCTCGGCGTTAGGCCCCTCAACTGTCCATCCTGGCTGTGCCAAGTAATTTGGGTAGATCTAGGGGGGAGAAGGCGATCTGCCAAATACCAAGGTCCCAAACCATTTAGGGCTTTGTACGTCATCATTTACACTTTGAAGTCAATGCGGAAACGAATGGACAGCCAATGTAAGGCAGCCAGAGTGGGAGAGATATGCTGGTGTTTTCTCACCCCACTAAGGAGTCTAGCCACCGCATTCTGCACCATTTGAAGCTTCCGCATCAATCTCAAAGATAGCTCCACATAGAGCGCATTACAGTAGTCTAATCTCAAGACTAAAAACAAGTGCATGGACCAGAGTAGTGAGCACCCCAACATCAAGATAGGTACGTAGCTGAGCAATCTGCCTGAGATGGAAATAGGCAGAGCAGACCACTGACACTACCTGGGTTTCCATGGTAAGCGGTGGATCCAGATGGGCCCCCAAGCTGTGAACCTCACTCTTTGTGGTGAGAGTCACTCCCCCAAAAGAGAGGGAGTTTCCCAAACCACCAATGTCTTGGCCACCCACCCTCAGGACCTCCGTCTTGTCTGGGTTCAGCCTCAGTCCATTTTCCTGCATCCATTGCAGCACGGCGTCCAGGCAGTGCTGAAGGGACTAAATGGCATCCACTGTTGTTGGAAAAAAAGGAGATGTAGAGCTGGGTGTCATCAGCATTCTGATGACATGAAGCCCCACATCTCCTGATGACCCCACCCAGTGGCTTAATGTAAACATTAAACAGTATTGAAGAGATAACCGAGCCCTGCAGAACCCCACAATTGAGATTCCACAGGGCCAGTACACTCTCTCCAAGCTGTACTCTCTGAGGACGGTCCTCCAAGAAGGACCGGAGCCAGACAAGCACCAGATCACTGATTCCCAAATTGGAGAGCCTCTCCAGGAGGATACTGTGGTCAAAGTTATCAAAAGTGACTGATATATTGAGGAGGACCAACAAAGACATTTTGTGCACGTCAGCCTCCCTCAATAGGTCATCAAACGGGGCAACCAATGCCATTTCCGTGACATGCTGCGGCCTGAAGCCCAACTGGAATGGATCCAGGGTGAGTAAGGTGAGTTTTCTTGAGTTCATTGAGACTTACCCCAAAGTAGGTGAGTATAGGCTTGTAGCCTGAGTCTTTTGCACAGAAATTCTGGGAGTTATGTTTGCTCACATTTGAATGGATTGTGGTCTTATTGTTTTTTTAAATCCTTACATTACAAATTCAGCTGACAGCAACTGAAACTTTTTAGGACTGCAGGATTAAGTCACATTTTCGAACCTTTTCACTACATTTTCCAACACGAAGTCTTCACATATGTATTTTTTCGCTCAAAAATAAACTGCCTTTAGAAGCTTGGAAATAAAATAGAGATAGAAAGATATCCCTTCAGGGGTATCTAAAAAGGATGCTTACAAATAAGCACATATCTGTCAGTCAGTGACCAGATTACAAGTGAACTTTGAAACTCAAGTGGAGATTTTTGCGACGGTTGCCCAAGTCCATAAAAATATACTGTGACCTACTACCAAATGCAGAAATGTATTATTTTCACAGCTTTTTCTGTAGCATTATTGTGTAAATGAGTAGTGTGGAAACAAAGATATTAAGGCTATAGCTTTTAAACCACAAACCAAGAAATAGGATGTAATATTTCAATTGTACTCCTCTAGACTAGTGGAAAAACCACAATATGTGGGAGAACATTGAGCTTAAGGTAGGAAAAATGTGCTGGGTTTCAATTTTTCTCCAAAAATATTAATGCCGTCCACCTAAGACCAGCAACAGTATGAAAATGTCTTGTACATTTGAATGGCTCGCAATGGGTGGAGGTGAAGGAAAAAAATGTACACAAGCCACACATTTTAAAAATGTGTATGAATAAAAACAGGAACACAGAGATACATTTTTGTCAAATAGAAATATGTTTCATCTGGAAACACATAAAAAATATGCACAAATTTCCATTGGGGAAGAGGGGGGAAAACGCTTTTGCAACCTGATACAAAGCTGACAGTTTGCAAATATAGGCAAGATTCAGAGAAAGATAACAAAATCCAGACAGGTTGTCACATTCCCACCTGACCTACATCAGGTCTGTGGAATGAAACATCTGACTTTTGCTATGGTCTTGAATCTGGATCAGAATGCCTCTGCCTGTTAGGATGATGGGGGGGAAAGGCTCCACTTGCTGCAGGAGACCTTCCCCACTCTTCCTTCCCGCAAGGCAAACAGGGGGGTCTAGGGCCTGGAGCAAGGGGCAAAGCTCCATTTAGCCACACCTAGGTTGTGATCCAGGTTACCCTGCTTCTGCTGGTGATTTGTGAAAGAAAATTGGCCTGCTGTTGCCTGAAGTTAGGTTTCCCTACATTTATTCAGTGGCTATGTTTTTGTTAAGTTTAACTTCATTGCATGTCTTAAGGGCCCTTAAGTTGCTTCTAATTCATGGTAACTAATAGGGGTTTCCAAGGTATGTGAGATGTTCAAGACTGGTTTTCTAATGCCACTCCCAGGGAATTTCTATGAGAAGCTAGATCCATTTCTTTTTTAGAAAGCAGAAAATCCTTCTTTGCGAAAATATATTGCCAAGGATTCTAGCACAGAGTCTGTCAAGCTGCCAGCTGTACTTGTGATAGAAGTGAAACTTCCTGCAGAATTATATCTATAAATTATATCTCATCTGTGCACTTGTTTCTGATGCAAATCCTTTCTTTGTCTTGTCCTTACATATCAAGATGGAGATTTACATTATTTTCCTCACTAGTGAGAATGGGAGATAAATTTTCTTGGCTAGGTTTCCTACAGAGGCAAGAATAAGGATTTCTGAAAAACTGTGCAAGTCTTTTGTTTTATTTTTGCAAGGCTACCCTTTTTGCACAACTGCATAAAAGTTTACTATTTCTGCAATTAGACAAGCTGCCCTGAAATAGGTTGGCTACTGTGTAATGTAAGAAGCTGAAGCATTAGATGCATTATCTGAATTTTTCTCAACAAATAGTCCTTCTTCACTTCCTCAGTCTGTGCTTGTGTTTTTTGCTTCACAAAGGCAAGGGATGGTAGACCTGTTTTCTATAAGTCACATAGATTTTGATAGAAAAAAGACTTCTTATTTCATTCTCAGATGGTGGTGAAGATTTTTCTAGAGCTTAAAAATTCCTTGTTTAGTTTCTTCATTGCATCATGACTGCCTAAAGCAATCTACCTCCCTCCCTCCCTACTGTTTTGAATCAATATATAAAATGAAGCATAATATATCCATGTTCCAGCAGTTGTTTCAAATAGCTCCAGGGATCCATTGTGTAATCTAAAGAGGTGGTTACTACATATGGAGCATGGAATTTTGGAGCAGGAATTTTGTCTCTCTTTGGACTATGTATTTTTTTTGCTTCGTTATTTGTGCATCTCTGCAAATGTCATTTGTTTACTTTTGCTTTCCTTGTTTGTCAGCTATTTCTCAACATTTGGGTTCACTCAGAGTTTTAAACCTCCCTTTGTAAATCTCTGGCATGTCACATGCAGTGTAATCTAATATTAAGAAAACAGTGCATGAAAAAGCATTTTGGAGCATGCATTCTTACTGCAGGCCAAACTCCTATAACATGTCAACTTCAACATCACTTTATTAAAAGACTTCTCTCCATATACCTCTGCCCCACTCCACAATCTGTCTCCCAGTTACAGCAGAAACACCAAGTTTGCATAATCAATAGCCACCAGTAGGAAAGGAATGGAATGCCATTTCATTCACACCATTTCTCATACTAACCAATGTTATGCGGATTCACTGTTTTCATTGGACACAACGAAAAATGTGAAGTGTGAACTTAGAACAGGCAAGGTTATTCCATCTGGTGATAATCCTTTAAGTTAGACAGTTTTTAGTGTAAGTGCTCTCTCTGAAACATCACTCCTTACTGCTTAGTAAGGCTCACTGTCTTGCTAAATTCACTTCCTTATTTTTTTTAAAGGAATCCAGACAAGAATACCAACAGCCAGACTGCAGGTTTAATCCATAAATGGAACTAATCTTTTAACATTTCCCTCTTATTCTTTCATGTGTGATTCAAACTAAGATGCTGTTGATGTTATAGCACAGCTGCTGGATGAGTGATGCTCATGAAGTTATTGTTGCTCAGAAAAGTATACCTTGCTTCCTGTATGTATAAACATTTGCTGGGTTTTGTTCCATACCTGGATCACTGTTTCTGGAGGCTTTGTTAGGTGGAATTCCACCAAGAGAAACTGTAAGAACATTTGGTCCTCCGAAATCTTGCGTGACATGCACAATGTCTCTGCTGTGGGTCTTGTCAACTGTAAGTACTGTGGAAGTTCCATTCTTTTCAAGGAAGACAAAATGCCAATGGCCGTCAGAAACATAAACTTCAGGGATGCTTCTTTCTACCTTTCCACCAATTCCAGCATCAGAGACATACTGTACTTTGCCACCTTTAATCTGTAAGGAAATATTTTGAAAAATAATAATGATAAAGGGAGCCACTCAAACAGCTGCATGCATTTTACATTACGTAGTAGGTATAATAGAAATGTACTCTTACAGGTTTTGATATCATAGCAGCCCTACCTTGTGGTATATCCTTTGCTGTTAAATACTTGGCTATCAGTAAGAACAATACTTATGAGCAGAGAATAGGTTGAAATACTGAAGAGAACACGTAAGGCTTGCCAGGTCACAGCTACTCCTAGTTTTTACAGTATACTATCTACCTGAAATGTATTTAATGCATTTCTAAATCTTTGGCCCTGCAAATATTTTGGACTTGAATTCTCAGAATACCTGACCATTAGGTATGCTGGTTGGGATTCCTGGTGTCTAAAATATCTGCAGAGTCACATTCTTGCATTTTGAATGATACAATGCAACAATAATTCATGATGAAAAGCTGATGACATGGCTTCCATAATCATGGTAGCATTAAAATCAATCCACTCTTTAGTCTGAATGCAGATAACTAACATACACTTTTTAAAAAAATCACCTCAGTAGGCAAGATAATGTTAACAAAAGCTGTTGGACTGTGGCCGGACAGATTTTTTTTGCATTCTCACTTTTGAACATTGGTGGTGGTGTAGTGACAGACTAAGACTTTGGAGAACAGCGTTGGAATACCTCAGCCATGGAAACTGAGTGGGAAAGTGGAACTAGCAAAAACACTCCTTAAATATCTCACTAACCTTGAAAACCCTGTTAGGGTTTCTATAAATCAGTTCTAACATGACAGCATGTAACAGTGATGACAAGGCCCAGCCAGTGACTATACTGTTGTAGGATTCTGGCAACTGTATTTTGCATCTTGCATATCTTTAGTCTACATCTGGCTCATTCCTTATCCCCATTTGTCAGGGAGGCAGATCAAGCCTACTGGTGCCAGAGTTTACCAAGGTATGCTCCCACCAAGTGTGCACAAACTCAAGAGTATCTTTGTTTTCTAAGAACTATCTGTAGGGTAAGTATGATGAAGTTCATCCATTTGTACATGTTCTTTCCTTACACTGCCTATAGACCAAGAAAGTACAAATAAAAGCAAACATTGCTATGTGCCTGCTTCAGACAAAGTGAAATTGCAAATTATGTGATAATGTCCTGAGAACCTGTGAGTACAGACTTTTGTGATGGAAAATCTGTCTCCCTCCGAGAGACTGGGAAACCAGATAAAACTGATAAATTAATGCTGGCTGAAGCATAAAACTGTGGTATTACACTGGAGATTCTTATAAACTGGAGAGAAAATGGAAACAATTAAGTCAAGAAAACTTGGATCTTATATCTATGCAATAAAGACGCTTGCCAGCATTACTGTTCTACTTACTTAGGGTTATGACCAAATTGACTGAGTCATTGCTAAAAGATTGAATCCACTGCTTTTTTTTTTTTTGCAAGAGGAACACTTACAAGATGCTAAAACATTTGAAATCCCTTTCATCACATCATCATGATACTTCAGCATCTCTGCTGAGAAGCAAACAGTGCATCTGTCCATTTATGGCTGAGATCCCATTGCTTAGTATAGTAAATTACAACTAGACTAGGCTTACTGAATAAACAGAAGAGTTAACTCATCACTGATTCAATGGGCTTATTCTAGTTTTCACTTACTACACTAAGCAACAGGATTTCAGTCTCTATATTCAAAGGAGAATTCAGCTGTTACTATGACAGGGAAATATGGCCAGCCTAAACCAGGTTTTGAAGAAAAGACTCCCTGGAGAAGACCCTGATGTTGGGAAAGTGTGACGGCAAGAGGAGAAGGGGATGACAGAGGACGAGATGGTTGGACAGTGTCACCGAAGATACCAACATGAATTTGACCCAACTCTGGAAAGCAGTGGAAGACAGGAGGGCCTGGCGTGCTCTGGTCCATGGGGTCACGAAGAGTCAGACATGACTTAACAATAAAACAACAACAACAAAACCAGGTACTTCATCTCTGGATTTGAGGACAGAATTGTATGTTGACAAGATTTTTTAAAAATGAATTTGAGCATACTAGTTATATAGGAAGTCTGAATGACGAGAGAAAAATAAATAGGAGAAAAGATGTCACTCTACTGTGCAATGTTTCATTAAGAACATATGCAACAAACATTCTTCTGACTGCCATTCAAACAGTCAGAACCTGGAATCTAGACAAAGCTGATTAGAAGCAAAATCATTCAGCCCCTCTGATGGCTGGAATTCTGCCCAGCACTAGTTAACTTTCTGGTATTTCTAAGGGCCAAGGTGAATTCAGATGGGATGAATATGACCAAGCAGCAGAATCAAATCTACTGAGGACCTACCTTCACAGTAGTATAATTGCTGCTTTCCTGGACATGGATTAAAACTCCACTTTTACTCCTTGTCCTGAATTTCACTTCTATACGATCAACAGTTTGGAACTCCAAAATAGCATTTTCAGTGCTATATCTCATCATATATTCCCACCTCCTGTTCTGTCTTATGTGGTAGTCAAGATGACCTTTGCCTTCTAATGACAAGGCAGTGTCAGCTGTAATGTCTAGAATATAAAAAAGGAAATTTTGCAATCAAATTTGTATCACTTTAATTGTTTTCCCAGATTTTTAAAAAAGGTCACATTTTAAAAGTTAAAAGTACACAAACTACCATATGTAAAGAAACTGGTCTGATCTTTAACTTAAATATAAAACCAAACCAAACCAAAACAGTTTATTCCCTAACAAGGAAGAGAAAATAAATTTCCACAGTTCTGTCCTGTTCTGCCAACTAGTCTTGAATATGAAAAGGTTTTCATGTAAAAGCAAACAGAACCAAACCTATCTTCAATTATAGTTTAAAGTTTATTAGACAACTGAAAGTGACTAGCTGGTTTTAACATCTGTATATCTATTTTTAATTACTTTCTCCAGAAATTACTGATCCCATTTGGAGCATTATATTTTACTTCATAATTATTGTTATAATGAATTCAGTCTTTACATATTTCTTTCATGTGTAAAACAGAGTACAGAGGAATTTATGCAACATGTAAATGTAGGTAAAAAGCAAGCTGAAACAAGAAAAAACATATTTACGTTTTTCACAGTGTTTCCCTGTCAGTCCTTCTTTGCAATGACACTGCTGCCAAGACCAAAAATCCATGCATGTGCCACCATGCTGACAAGGATTAACAGCACAGGTTCCTTCCAATCTAGGACACCTAAACAAACACAGTGATGCCATTTTTATTGCTTATTTAATTACCCTGTCCTACTTCCAAGAAGATTAGAGCAATGAATGTGGCTTCTCCTTCATTTCTTCACAAAAGGTCTGCGAGGTACCTTCAGATGAGAGATTGTAACTGGCCAGAGATCATCTAGTGAGACTTGTGGATGAAAACAAACCAGAATTTGGTCTCCCCAATGAGAGCCATACTGTTCACTTACAGGAAATTTAACAAGGAATTCTTGTGGCAACTTGAAAGACTACCAGAGGTGATTGGCACAGATTTTTATGGACTGCAGTCTTCTGCATTAGATGAATGAAGTGTCGCTTGAGCGGGCAGAATTTAAATCTATATTTGCTTATATTTGTAAGAATATTTTAAGATATGATTTCATAGACTTTTCTCCTTATTTTGCTGAAAACTAAATCACAAAATTGGAAGAACTACAAAATCTAAAGGATAACTGCATTCTAATCTGCACATTAGTATGGAAAACTGTACAAAAGGCTAACTTTCTCCTGAATTCAGACTGAAAAAATACCTAAAGCATTCCTACCTTTAATTACTATATTTTAAAGTATTAGTGAAACCTCATTTACAAAGTGATCCTCCTTGAATGTAAGAATATGGATGCTCCTGAATGGTCTGTTATATTCCTAGTAGACTGCTACTTAATGTCATGTCAGATTGTTTAATGGCGACCTTATGCTTCATTTTTACATCTAGAATAAACAAAGCCTATATAATCTTATATTTTATGGCTTCACCCTAGATTCTGGCTTTTTGTGAGCCTCTCTCTCTCTCTCTCTCTCTCTCTCTCTCTCTCTCTCTCTCTCTCTCTCTCTCTGTGTGTGTGTGTGTGTGTGTGTGTGTGTGTTTATGCATGTTCAAACTTAGTTGGAAACAAAATTCCAGAAACACATAGCTATTATATTAACCACATTGCACATAGCCTGAAAATATAATGCGGAAAGTAACAAGAGTAAAAGTATCCACTGAATTTGGAGCAATATATTTTTTGTTTGCCAAGCACATCTGAAACTAAGTCTTCAACCACTTTTCACTATGAAACTGGCCAAGGCATTAAAGAAAGAATTCCAGTGGACAAGAGACAGAAAAAAAATTACAGACATGACTATCCTTCTTCAGTGGGGAAACTCCAATGTTTGGCTGTCTATGAAAATATAATTGATGCTGATATCTGTGTGCTAGAAAGCTTTAGGAAATCATATGCCACAAGCTGAGTCCATGAAAGAGAGAGGGATGAGCTAACCACTCAGGACGTTCTCTTATTCCATTTCTCAGTTCAAACAGCAGGATGGAAGAACAACAGGTTCAGCTAATCAATCATGCTGAAATGGCATTCACAGGAGAGATGGTATGAGGGAAACACATAAGAGGAAAAGTGAGATAACAGACACTTGAGTCTGAGGAATGGGGGTGCGGGTACTGTACTGAATCATACCAATGCAGACAAATCTGCTAAGTATGGTAAACAGAGATTTTTTAAAAAAATACCGCCCCATGTTGCTGATCAGCAAAAAAACAATATGTATGTTCAAATCCACATTCTTTCAAACCGCAGCAAGCTTTTCATCAGCTTTTTGTACCTGTTAACTTTCAAAGACTTCCTTTCATAGTGATATTTAAGAATGAATAATGAAGTGCAAGATTGCAGAGTCAGGTCCCAGCTGTGATACAGCATGCCCAACAATGCATATCAAACCTGACACAGTTCTTGAGTATTCACATGCCCATATATATGATAACATGGATGAAAGTGAGTGCTTCTATCCACACTATATTCAGGATCCTTGAGTCATTCTCAGCTGAGAATGAACATTTAGTCTATTGCATCATGACCATTCCAGCAAAGAATCTGTAAGGTAAAGGTTACCCTTGACAATTTTTGTCCAGTCATGTTCGACTCTAGGGGGCGGTGCTCATCCCCATTTCCAAGCCATAGAGCCAGCGTACATGGTCTAGAGGGGCGGGGTATAAATAAATAAATAAATAAATAAATAAATAAATAAATAAATAAATAAATAAATAAATAAATAAATAAATAAATAAATAAATGGTGGTACCTATTTATCTACTCGCATTTGTATGCTTTCGAACCACTAGGTTGGCGGGAGCTGGGAGAAGCGACGGGCGCTCACTCCGTCACATGGATTCGATCTTACAGCTGAAGACCTACAGAACTTACAGCACAGAGGCTTCTGCAGTTTAACCCGCAGTGCCACCATGTCCCTCCAAAGAATCAGTACATAGATGCTTTTCCTTCACATGTCTCTGCCTTGCTGGATTTCAGCAATCATGAATAACACAGCATTAATTCAAAGGAAAGGGTAGATGATGCCTTTATCGGACCACTAAAAACAAGAGCCCTCGCCTTGTATTGTGTAAGGAACACACAACTGTGTTGCTGTTTTTCTGAATAACATTAATTTTTAGATGTATGAAGAGTATGGAAAGCATCAGAACTTGTCAAATCTTATTGCAACAATTGATACAATGTATTCATTTGTATCATACAAACCACATACTGATCTAAAATTCCTTCAGCTGATAGTGCCTGGCTGGGTTCTAATGGACGTCCATTAACTGCAAATTCCATTATGCAACCCACAAAATCGTGACTCTCCACCTGTCCTTTTCTTTGAAGTATTGGCTGTAGTGATCGGATACCTCCTATGGTGACTCTGTTTGGCTGCACATCAAGAGTCCTGCAGGTAAAAAACAAATAAGTAGATAATAAAAAACTGAATGGTAACAGGAATACAGTTGCTACACGCCTGCTAATATCTACTTAAAACTCTAGGTGAAACCTATGTGTTAACAAAATCATTTAAGCAAACAACGACCCAAATCCTGTTGCAAAATTGTATACCAAGGTATGTCCAGCAAGCAGCTCTGCCAACACAGGTGTGCACTAGATGTACAATCAATTGAGCAATCAGGCACACTCCCAGAACCCTCAGTAAGCACAACCAGTGGTTAGGAGGAGTTGTAGACCAACACATAAGGAGGATTAAAGGTTCTCTGTTTCTGCCATAGTGGGTTAAATCCTGTCTCTTAGCTTGGTAAATTTACTGAAACAGACCTGTTGAAACAGTGGAGATGCAGTTGGCCAACTTTTCCATAAATTCCATTGATTCAAATGAGTTAACTCTAGTTGCAACTATGTTAAAGAATGTCAAAGTTATAGTAGGCCCACTTGAATCATCATCATTGTAAAACAATCATCAGTTCAGCCCCTGTTAAAGAGGTTCATTGGGGAACTGAACTCCGAACCTCTGGCTCCATAGTCAGATATCGAAACCACTGAGCAATCCAGCAGTTCATTCAATGGAACTTTTGGAAGAGTGGGCTTTCCAAGCACCACTGATTCAATGGATTTACCTTAGAGCAATTTACTATGCTAAGCAACAGGATTTTCGCTATAGTATGGTTAAGAAACAGTGAGAAAGTCATAATCTGAGTTAATTACCTGTGAGAAAACATTTGCATGTGATTGTTATATTGGAGTATTTTAACCTTTGGTAACTATTGCAAATAAACTCACATTTTATTAATTATGGTTGAAACTGTTAACAACATTTAAACCATATTTAAATATCACTGCTAGTTTACTGGAGGGCCAGGTGAATTTGTAGGTAATATCTGGTCCACAGTGTATTAGTGGATATTTCTGATATAGATTATTATTCAACATAGCTTCAATCACAGTCACTAAAATGATGGTTTTTTTTTTCTTTATTTTTTTTTTTGAGTGTTCATCTGAAAATCACTCGATCATACATCAGTTAGAGGCGGGATACCTGAAGAATGAAGCTGGGCTTTGGCTAGCTATCTTCAATTTTTTGACTGAAGGTAATTTTTTTTCCTAATAGGAAAAAAATTACTTCAAGATGATTTTCACTCAGTTTGGAAGAAAGCTCTGTTTGCTAAACTTAGAAGGTATGACTTTTCTGTGGAATGCCTTATTCATATAGGATATGATACAGCTAGACCAGCCCTCAGAAAACCTACTGCGGAGGTCAAGAGGAAACATGATGTAGGTCCAACCTGAGACAATATTCCACTTGATACAGCGCTGATGCCTTTTAAAGCAGCAAATTATTTTTATTTACTTTCACTACAAAAGTACTGTAGAGCTTTCATTCTTGCCAGGCTAAATGCTCTGCCATCAGCAGTCCAGGGGAGACATTTAAAAAGATTCCATACTGCCAATGCTAATGTCCTTGTATTTCTGGAGCAACAGAAACAATAACTCATGTCTTTTGCATTGCCCCCTTTATCTGGATAGTGTGGAGCAACAGAAACAATAACTCATGTCTTCTGCATTGCCCCCTTTATCTGGATATCTGGAAAACCTTTATTGAAACTTAAAGTTATATGTTGTTCACTGCACTAAAACTTTGCACAGCTGCAGTCAAAATTAGTGGAGGAAGGTTTTTAGTAACTTTATACAGTAATTAGTTTTAGATAACTACAGCAATATTCTAAGACGAAAACACATTCAATGTTTTCCTCTTAGTACTAATTATGACACTAGATTATTAGCTGTGTCATTTTATGTTTTTAGGGTGACAGGAATGAAGACCCTTAGAATAACTCAGTCTATGTATTTATGAGTTATTTCTATTTCAGGCATCATTCACTGATCATAATAAAGTTTATCTACCGGTACCTGTATCAGTTTCATCTGTTCAACAGGCTATAGATGTTTTGCCAGTACGCTTAATTATAGTTTGCTGAAATTGGATATGATGTTTTATAGTTTCAGTTTCTTGCTGAATGCTTCTCGTAACTGCACTTTTAAAAGGAAACAAAAATCTGGTGCTTCTTTCTCCCTAAAATTTTAATCAGCAACTCCATCAAGTGCAGATATGCTGGCACTTCGGTTCCACAGATTCAATAGGTCTTGTTTAGCACAAAGCCATTTTTTATCCTTTATGAACCTGGCTGTATATGCTTTATACTGTATACTGCTTTTGCCAAACAATAAATTAAAATATTATTTACCAGTCAGTAGATACAGCCACATTGCTAACAGTACAATAGCCAGGTTCCTGTTCTTCAGCGCATGAATCCACAGTCAAGGATGCTGCCTGCAAAATGTGCATCATAATTAGTATTTCATGGATAATGCAAAACATTCCATTAAATTTTGATTTTGGTTTGTACTAAAAATACAATAGATTATGGGAACAAACTGTTGTTTTGTGGCTTTGGTTCCCTTGTAGTTTTTTATGCACAAAGAAAATTATATACTGTATATAGAAAGACATGTGCATCATCTTTCAATATTTGGCGCACACACACACACACACACACAAGGAGATGGGACAGGGATTCTCCCTGCAAAGCCAATGAGGGGTGGGCTGATAGAGCTGCTGCCTGAAATAGCGCACAACCAAAGAAGGATCCTGGTGGTGCATGAGGAATGGTGAGAGGATCGGCCGCCTGGGGGGTGGGAGATGGGCCAGTGTGGCAACTGTGGTGCCGCACTGACACCTTCATACAAAGTGCTTCATTGTGCTTGGTGCCCGCCTCTACCTGTGACTCAAACCACAGCAAAGCTTAATTGCTCCAAATCAGCTTGCTAGTGTTGTCACAGTCTAAGATAGGCTAAATGTTCTCATGACCCATTCCATAAGGAAGCTTCAGCAATACAGCTTTTGGTTTAATCACTGTGTATGTGTTGAGTATCATCAAGTCATATCTGAGTAACAACAATCTTAATATAATTTTCAAGATATGTCAAATTTTTAAGGAGGAGTTTCAACTGTGCCATTCCCCAGTGAATTTCATGGACAAGCGGCAATTTGAACTCAGTGTATGTATGTATGTATGTATGTATGTATGTATGTATGGCCAAGAAGCAATTTGAACTCAAGTCTCCTGATCGCTAACCTGATACTCTCTCTACTACACCAAACTGACTCAACCATTTTAATTTTTACAGTGAAATAAATACTAGTCCCTTCCACCCATGCAAACACACTCATGTTCTTTTCAGGTTTATGTGAAACAGAAACATTGAATGTTTAGCGATACAATTTATACATGTGCAAAAACACCTCACAACAGTTATTTTCATCACTATTTGTCCTGTGAACTGGACAGGAGTCACCTGAAGGAAGAGTTATTTGAAACTATATTTTACTTGGACCTGATTTCATGCAAGTCAAGTTCCTAATGATAGTCAAATGTTCCTGCTTGTTCTTTTAGCAGTTAATTTGCTACTGTTATCTCTTCAGTTATGAGAATTTCTACCCTGTCACTTTGCCGTATCTCAAATCTGACAAGTTAATGATTTTACCAGTTTCCCATAAAATTCCCACAGCCCTGTAGGAAATGACAGGTTTTAAATCCTATAGAGAGTTATTTTATATATGCTTGACATCTAGAAGATTTTTCCCCCCACAGCAGAAATTTCAGACAAAGGTAGTTGCTCCTTTACATCTTGGGCTCATAAAGAAGGGGGGAGAGATGAGTTCAAGCACCATGACAAAGTAATGGTAGAGGCTTGGTACTTGATTAGATCTGTAGTTACTTTTTATGATATCCCCTTTGCTAGTTTAACTATACTTTTCCAACTTGGAACTAACTGAATGAGCATATGCATTTGTATTGAGATTATTCTTTCGGGATAGAACTGTGCAGTACAGTACAGGACTGAAAGAGGGCTGCCACAGAAACTCAACTCCTTTTCATCCTCACTCTCCCTATACTGTGTAGCAAAACAGAATCCTTAATGCAATTTCACCCTATTCCAAGTTTTCCCTTTTGCTTCATTAACTGAGATGAAGCTGGAACAAGGAAAAGCAGGAAACAATGACATTATATTACATGGTTTCTTTGGCAAAAATATAATTAGAAAATGACAAGAATATATGGGGCTGTTTTTAGTATCAGCTCATTTTTTTTTTGCAGCCACATCACGAATTGTCTCCCATAATGGCTGAAATCCCATTGCATAATGTCTATAGACATAGAGATCCCGCCATGATTCTTAGAGACATGGTCACACATACTGGCTTGGTTTGTGCACCCCCGCTCCAAGAATCAAGAGGGGGCCTGCTTATTTTCCATATAAAGAAGAAGAATTGCAACAGGCAACAGGATTTTGTACGATGTGTCATTCGGCCCTGAGATGCTAATTTAAAAATCACACCCTAAAGGACTAATGACTATTTAATGATTAGCGTCAAATAAATAAATAAATAAAAAATAAATAGACTATTTAATGATTAGCTTTGTTAATTTTTCTCAGAATTCTCAAAGATGTTTTATTTGAGCACATTAAATAATATTTGATAATAATTCCAGCCAACTTCTATAACAAGGATAAATCTTGGATAGTGGGATAGTGGTTAATGAGCAGGTATCCATCCTGACCACACTGCCACCCCATTTTCCTTGCAGAATGAAAACAGAGGCAGCTGTACTGATTCAATTTATTTTGAAGTCATCAAACCAATCTGAGTAGTTTCCAAACTCAGCAGTAGAACGTTCTTAAAGACTGTGTTAATTGCTCATTCAAGGCTAATTTGGGAGACACATCATATTATCGATAATATTTTCAGCCACATCAGAGAAGTGGATAATTTCATTGGGCAAAATATACAGCCAAATGCCAACCATGAAGAAAATATTTCACTGAAATTATAGTGGTCTGAAAACTGAAAATTAGGGGTCTGAAAACTGAAACCACTGTTGTTTATTTCTATATAAAATTTTACATGGCCCCACATATCAGGTAGGATAATTCTGTTTCAATTCACCAAATTGTTCTTTGAGCTCCTCCATACTGGTCTTCTTACTGTATAATGAAAATGGATCCAGCTTATTTAGGAAAGTGCTCATGCAACCTGATTTCTACATGTGTAGAAGCATGTCTAGCTTGAGTTCAGAGTAGTATCCCCCCGAAAAGTTGTGACAAGACATTCTCTGATGTGATTTATAACCTGTCACAATGGAAAAGTGTCAGTCCTTACTGAAATATGGACAATCTTATTTTACATAGACCTCTGGACACCACATCTAAAATATAATGGCTTTGTTCCATACCACCATTCCATGGCCGTGTGCCATTAGTGTGCCAAAATATTTGTTATATTTAATAGAAAGATAATAACTTCCTAGATTGGACAATGGTGTGTTCCATTGTTCCCCACTTCTCTGAGTTAACTGTAAAATCCATGATTATCAATATTCATTATTCATGCACATCCTTCTACATTAAATATACATCTCTTACAATGTATGTATGCTTACATCTTCCCCCTTCTCCCAAGAAAAATAGGCAATGCTACTGCTGAAGACAATGATGATGGTGAGAATGGTGACAATGATTTCTGGTGAATCGGGAAGAAGTGGTATAATATGGTTTCTCATATATAATCTATGAAATCTGTTGGTGCTGATTTCAGTATGTTAAGGGGAGGTAGATACCCAGAGACATAAATTTGAATGTTTTTCTATACCAGAAATGAGTAAGGATTATCCATGAAAAATTCTGGCCTAATTTATATTTTGCTATAACTTCAGAGTGTTTGCCAAATAGACAAAACTTCCCAATATGTTAAAAATGTATACCAATTATACGGCTCTAAATTACAAGGGGCTTTATCCCAGTATTATCTGAAGCATTAAATTTGCCTCTTAATTAGCCTTCAGTGATTATTCTTCCCACAGCCTGTACCAATTAATTAGAAGTGGATGGTCATTAATTCCCTTCATTAATCATCCTCATATTTAGATGGTTTCTTTTGAAGAATCCATTTAAATGTTCAGAACAACTTTTAATGGAACAAAAAGGAAGCTAAACAAGCTTCTAGTGCAATTCTACTTTTAAAAGCACACATATATCCATTTGTTCTTACTTGAAACCCTAAGTGACCTGAAATTGAGTGAAGCTTTATCTAATTTTCTGTAAAGCAATGCTTACCATTCCAGCTCTCCGAGCAATAACAGTGTGAAATTGTCCATCAGACACCTTCTTTGCTGTGGTAAGTTTATATGTGCCACTGCCAAGGTTGTATGAGAATCTTAGCCTCTCTTCTGTTATTTCAAGAGCTAGGAATTCTGCCCGATCTCCTGTCTGGTTGTCATAATTATATAGCATTAGAGCATTGCTTTTGATAGTTGCAAACTTTATGTAAATATAATTGTTGTTCGGATCCATGCTGGGGAACTCCATGTAAGATAGTTCTTCAAATCCATAGCTATTTACTTCACAGTGCTTCCCAAAAACACCTATTAACACAGAAAACATGACAATGATCAAGAACAAAGATTTTGAACATGTTCCACCTGCAATGAATAACATTTTAAATCCCATTTGTTTGTTTCAATAGATGACTTAAGTCATGCTCTTGTATTTCTTCCAGTGGAAACAAACATAGTTAATGTTTATTTCAACACAATCATTTTAAAATGGAACAAATTAGAACTTTGTGTTGCTTAAACATCCATGAATTTCTATGTCCAATTTAAACTGCCTATGACTGCTACTGAAACCCCAACATTTGAAAACAGACTGTCCAAAATAATTTGTGCACACATATGAATCTTAAGATTGGTCACAGAAGGTCTTGTCATGAAGTTCAGTTAGATCAAGGATGGGTAGCTTTGATAGAGACCCAAATTTCCATCCTTGGCACCTCCAATAGGACCAGAAAAAAAGGAAGAAAAGAAAAGAAAAAAGGAAGAAAGAAAAGAAAAAGTATGCTTGTCATACGTCAGATGTCATATTTGAGATTGGATTTATGTGGTAAGATGTTCTGTGCATGTGTTGCACCTTGAAAAGCATGATGTACTATATATTTAAATCATACAGTCTATTTGTTAACTATATTAACTGAGAAGCAAAATAGTGTTTTAGTGAATATTGAAATGGATTATATCAACAAATACATAATCCATTTCAATATTCACTAAAACACTATTTTGCTTCTCAGTGATCTACGTGCCTATGCACTGTACTCTCAGATATATACTGTTTCCTTTCAAAAGCGTACTGTATGTAGTGAGCCAGTCAATACATCTTGATTTTCTTTCTATTTACTTTTTTTCCCTATTGCTTCGTGCAGTTTCTGTTTTTCATGGTTTAAAACATGTTTTATTGCAGAACTAAGCCAAAACCCTCTTGCTATCAGTATGTGCTCACTATGCCAAACCATATGAACTAATCATAATAAAAAGAGCTAATATGGAGCCAATGACAGTTGCATTCCTCCTCGAATTTGGCAGTATAGCATCTTCTATGCTTTAGATCTCAAGTCAACATGCAATACGTTTTGAAGACTTTTTCCTTTGCTACTAACAGCCCTATAACATATGGGTCTACATACTATCCATATTCTGTTTCCTTCAGCATGTATGCCTCATAAAGTCCTTGCCTGTGGCCTTTTAAATGTTAAAACATCAAAAACAATACTGTGCCATGTGCCTTATTCTAAAATGATAAAATAACAGCATTGGAAATTGGACGTGGCCAAGTGCATGAGAGAAGATTCTTGGGAGATTGAGAGAAAGGGAAAACCTGGATTACAGGTTAGGATGGTGGAGGTGTGGGCGGGATTTGCAACTGGAAGGAATGTGGAAAGAGGAGAATAGAGTTTTAGGGTATAGGATCAGGGAAAGCTAGGATGTAGAACTAAGGGTAGGAAAAGTAATATCTGCTGATGGCAGGAGAAAGATGAGGAAGGAAGGAGGGAAGAAGAACATCACTATTTTCATTGACAGAGTAGTTCCTCAGCCAAAGACAAAGTAAAAATAAAGAAAACAAAAATCATGTGGCAGCTTAAAGACTAACTGCTTTATTTTAATGCGAGCTTTCGTGTCCAAGCCAACTTCCTCTGGTCTTTGTCTTCTTTCTCAAATTTGAACATCATAAAACAAACATTACAGGTGGCTTTAACATACATGAACATTTGCATTTCCAAATTTTGATTAGAATTTGGGTCCAAATAGGATCACACAAAGTCTGAAATGGATCAGAGTTAAATTCAAATCACTGAACTAGGTCCCAAACTGAATCAGAAATGCCCTTATCTTTCCCTACTAGATAGCCACAGCCCTTATTACATTCTCAGTGGTAACTTATTAGCTGAGTCATGTTATCCCTCTTTGCTCTGTCTGCGTAATTGCTGCTACTGTGTTGGAAGGTCTTCTTTCTCCCTGGGTTGTTCTGTCTTATAATAATGTTGATTCAATGACTTGTAAACTGCCTTGGGAATTAGGCTACTTTAAGTGAATTTTTCCTTACCAAATGGACAGTGGCAGTAGTAACCTTCCACTCCATTCTGACAAGATCCTCCATGGAAACAAGGGTTACATTCACAGTAATTGACAGTGGACTCACAGATTTTCCCTGAAAGAGTAGAAAAAATAGCATTATTAGATGCTTGCATAAAATGAAAATAAGGTGGCATCCAGACAATTAACGGTGATCTGGAATCACTTGGGAAACAATGAATTTATTTAGGGCATAGAAGGTATTTCTTCACTAATTAGAAACACAGTTGAATGAAACATTAACTTTTGACAGTTCATACAATTTTGTTTCTAATCAAGAAGAGAAGCATATGAGAAGCATAATGATAATGTGCATAATGAGAAGCATAATGATAATGTGCAATTTCTCTGTAACACATTCATGTTTTTAAGTGTTTCACAACATCCTGAGATTTCACAACATTCCTAATATGAAATTCAGCCACAGAAGACTAGCATCTCAAAGTTTTTATTTGTTTCTTGGATTTGGTTTGTGGAGAAAACTGATAAGAACATGAACACTGCTCAGAGCATAGTTATCCTTTGATAAATGGATAAATCTAAGCAATCTACATCTGTAATATCATGCTGTTTTTTTTAAAAAAAATATACTTATTGCTGCCACATTAAAAAGATGTGACACAGGGCTGCCTCCAAAAATGTTCCTAATTCAGTTCACCACACAAACAAAGGTGTTACTAATTGGAAAGACCTCTTTCAGAAACACAGATCAGTCAGGATCAGTCAGTGATTTTATGCATTACCTGCATGGACCCAGAAACTCACAGCTCCAGATAAAAGGACTCAAATCGTTGCTATTCTTTCAAAATAAAAGTGACCATGTCTTAAAAGCATGAATAACGTAACATGTCATTCCGCCCAAATTTTGTTACAGCAAGTTGTTTTCTCAACATCTGCTGAGTCACCAAGTTCACTGAGGTAAAATTGCTGGTATATATAGCATTTTATCACTGGAAGCGTTTCTCAGTATGGTGCAAACTGCTGTTTTATGTGCATTTGCAGGGTTTTCTCTGCTTAATTAAATCTGCAAGCCTGAAGATGGGTTGATTTTTTAAAAATACATTCCTCGGGCTATTTTCCCCCTCCAAAACATTTCACAGTTCTATAATTAATTGCATATGCTTCAAATAATAATGTTTTGATGAGCGAAACCAGTGATTTGCTCAAGTAAATTATGCCCTAGAGTTAAACAAATCACCAAATGACTAGCTTTGTGAACTTTTAAAGACTACTAGTGGTTCATCTACAACTTTCAGTTTCATGGGCTTTGATCACTTTACCCATTTCAATCAAACTGGTGAGGGACTAATTTTGATACGTTGGGATGTGTATGTAGATAAACTCCATATATGCACGCCCAAGGTCTAACTATGGGGAGTACACAAAAAGAAACAGTCTTTTAAAGGTTGAATCTAATTTTAATCTCAACTATATTCCACTTAGTCATTAGAATTTACATATATGGCCTCACCAAATCTTAGACATTCAATGGCTCTACTCTACATTAGAACAAACAATTACATTTGCCCTTGAGTTTTTAACAGAATGCTTCAGAAATAGTATCCCAACCCTCCAATGCTAAGAACACAAACTTACATATATCTAGTCAGTAGTGACCCCCACTGAATTCAATAGCATTACAATCACACACTCTATGTGGGAAAGAGTGCAACTGAAGTCAATGGGTCTTACTCCCCAGAATACATGTATAGGATTTCATTGTAAGTCTTGGTTCTTTTGGATATTTGGCAACAAAAAAACACATTTATTATAGCAAAATTTGCACTTGCACGTATTTGATGGGAAGAACTGATTCATGGTAACACTAGTCTTTCTAAAATGGTTGCATCTTTCACACAAACTTCATATTTTTAAAATGATTTTGAAATTATTAACAATTTGAAATGATTTCACACACACACACACACACACACACACAAACATTCATCCATTCTAGTGTGGCACAGAAAATGAAGAGGATCATAGAAAAGGCAGTCATTATATTATTGTACACTTGTATCAGTTGTATATCCCAACTCACAACTGATCCTTCCCCAAGCAATGATAGTCACTAATAAACATAACCACACCAAATGGCTTAAACCTCAACATTGCACTGAGGTAATTTTTCCTTATAGTTGCAAGCCTAACTGTCTCTGTAGGGTGTCGGAGTAAGAAGCAACTGGCCAAAAATAATAACACAGTGAAAATCTGTGTGCCATCTTGGGTTTGCAGTCAGCTGGTCCAGAAGCCTATAAGGTATAAATTCCAAATTACATGAAGTGAAGGCTTGAATAAGAAACCACTGGTAGTTACAAGTTAAAAAAAGGTCATTAACTTGTGTCTACCTAGTCAAGGATCATATACACACATTTCTGGAAAGGAAATCAAGTGTGTCAATTTATGTTTGTGTGACCGATTAGCCTATATTAACACTTTGATGGTACTGGACATACAGTTCAATGTTTTAAACCATAACCAGAGGTCACATGTAGCTCTATGATTCTTTCAGGGTACTTTTAAAAAACACGGTTTTGTCACTAAGGCCTATTCTCACTTCCACAGCCTTTTCCAGCATTGGAAACCAACTTCACAGCTCCTCCTCTGTCTAGAACAGGTTTTTAGGGTTTGGGGGAGCATTGTAGGAAGGAGGGAGGGATTGCATCAATTTCACAAGGACTTGTGGGAGATGAGCTCAACAACAATGTTGGCCTAAGGCTGCAGTTTGACAGACTGGTGCAGGGTGAGTATGTTTCCATGTTGTACATCACAAATGGCTTTTACTCTACAGGAGAAAGAATAAAAAATGGAGCATCCTTTTCCCAAAAGGAATAAAAGCACTTGGGGTAGGGGTAATTTTCAGCAGAAAAATGGCATACAGCAAAAAAAGTTAAGAAGTCGCTTTCCTTTTTTAGCAATCTTTCCCTGCTATAATATGTGACAGTACCAAAAAAGTCCTACAAACACCAATGGAAATGCAAGTAGCATTTAGCTCTGCCTTCTGTTCTGTGAGACAAAGTGCACTGAGTAATAGTAGATCTTCTTTCTCCTTTAATCCCCAACTGAGTAAGAAAACATGAAGAAGCCAGAGATGCTCGATGCTGCATTTTTATACAGTGGTGCCTCGCTTAGCAATCGCTCCATTTAGCGATGAAATCGCTTAGCGATGCTGTTTTTGCGATCGCAAAGCGATCACTTTGCGATGCTGTCTATGAGGAAATTTCGCTTTGCGATGATCGCAGGGAAGTGATCATCTCAAAGCCCCCATTTTCACACAGCTGATCGGCGGTTTCAAAATGGCCGCTGGGAAAAAACATGGCCGCCCGCTGTGTTTAGGGATGGATTCCTCGCTTTAGAGGCACCGAAAATGGCGGCGCTATGGAGGATCTTCGCTCAACGGTGAGTTTTAAGCCCATAGGAACACAATGAAGGGGTTTCAATGTGTTTCTATGGGCTTTTTAATATCGCATAGCAACGTTTTCGTTCTGCAGTGATTTTTGCGGAACGAATTAACGTCGCTAAGTGAGGCACCACTGTATATACTTCTCAATACAGACAAAATAATTTTATCACCTTAAAGACTAGTTTTGTGGACTGTAACCACTTCTTCAGATGCTGACTAAATCTTATTCTTCTTTGAGGCACCACAAGACCCTGTTATTTTTGCTGCAACAAAATACAGACTGAAAAAGTGACCCCTTTGAAAATGCTTCCCCTGGTTGTCCTCTGTTAGCTACTAGAGTGCAGTGTTGATATTGCAAAGAAATGCACACAGAAACAGACACCCATAAAAATCTTCAGTGGAATATTCCTGCTCTCAGCAGAAAATTAAAGTGTTCCAATGCGAGAAAATGTCATATGTGCCAGACATCAGATATGACATTCATCTCAGAAAAATCATTAACCCCAATTAGAAGCTACAGGGCTGACATGGCTGTATTGTGCACTACAGTTAAATGAGAGTTCTGCTGAGGTGTCCTAGTGAGCCCGTGCCTATTTAACCTCTGGTGCTAATGACTTAAAGGGTTACCGCAATTGTGCCACAGAATTGTTCTGCCATGCTGCTGGCCAAATAATTTGATGTGCTGATGCAATGTGAAATATAATCTCAGATCATTAGGTTAATTAGAACAGCCATTCAATTACGAATAATTACTTGTGACCTGAAGCACAGCAGGCTACACTGATGGAGAGTGTGGTAGAAGGATCCCCATCAGTGCCTTTTATGTCAAGAAAGCTTTTACAGTGAACATGTGTCAAGTCTCCACATATGCTCTTTTAATGGAGATGTTGCTGACAGATCTTAGTGCTTTTCTGGCAAGACATAAGGTAGCAGCTCTTGTATTGAAACGACACAGAAGCACCAGTTTAACAGACACTCAAAATCTTTTTTTTTTAAAATATTCAATGCATAGTTCTATGTGGTAAAGAGATAGAATTGTGCAATTGCTGCTGCTAGTGTATCTACAATAACTTTTAAAGAAATTTGCTTAAGTATTTTTGTCAGGGCAAAGCCCTCTCAAGATAACATCCATAAAGCATAAAAACACCTCTGATCAAGAAAGAGAAGTGATCAAGTTGTGCCTGTAAATATAGGCGGGAGATTTTTTGACTGAACTTTCTTACAGTAACACATTATATCCTTGTAAAGGTAAGTAAGGCGAAAGTCCTTCAGTCTTACTTATAGTTTTTCTTTTTGTCGCTATGTTTTTGGTGCAATGTGAACAGGCACAATCTAGAGTCAGGTTTACTATCTCATTTATAGTTTGTGAAAACAAGATTGACATTGGCCAGCAGAGAAAATAATTGAAATGAAAGGATCATATGCAACTCATGACTACAGCAGGATGAAATTTCCCACACCAACCCACTCAGACGACAAACTGCCACTGAATGAAATAAAACGCAAATGCCAAAAATAGGCAGCACCTTTAAATACCACTAAAGATCATTATACAATCCACAAGCTTTCATGGATTAGCTCATGAATTGTCTGATGATTTTTTTTTAGTTGTCTATAAAGGTACTGCGTATTTTTGAATCTGTATTTTATTTTGTTTTGACCACACGGCTACCCTTTACTTTGATGAATTGAGTAATGCGGCCTTTCCATTTAGTTTCTTCACAAGGGGTCCAGTTCAACTTTATCATCAGAAATTATACTTTCAAAATAGAAAAAACAACAGCAACAAAACAAACCTGTGGATACCACTTGCTGGTATTCACTGTTTGGGATTTAGAATAATCATCCATGGAGAAATAACTTCTTACCTGTATAACCAGTTTTGCAAACACAGTTGAAGCCTCCTGGGAAGTTCTGGCAGAGCGCACCATTTTTACAAGGGCTGGACAGGCACTCGTTGATATCTCTTTCACAGGCCATACCGGTAAAACCACTGGAACAGCTGCAAGAGAAACCTCCCACTAAATTATGGCAAGTCCCACCATTGTGGCAAGGGGATGGGAGACATTCGTCTATGTCCATTTCACAAAGTCTTCCATCATATCCCGGCAGGCAACTGCATGTAAAAGGCTGAAGAGGTTCATTTGCCACAATAATAACTGGGATGCTGTCATAGCTCCTTAACCTGGGACTCACACCTAGTTTTCTCAAACAGCTACCACCGTTTTGACAAGGGTTCTGTAAACATGAGTCATGATCCACAGACTCTATTCGGACACCACTTTGACGGAAGAGGATTTCTTTGATGCTTTCAAAGAACGTAGTTACGCCACCACGGTTCACATACTGGTAGTTACCGCGCTTCACAGCTGCCATCGCAAAAGTCCTATTGTTCTCTTCGTAAGCCCCATAGAGTTGAACAGCAGTTCCTAATCCAGTCAACTGTGAATTGGCAATTCGTAGAAAATGAAGGTAGTGATTTGTTAAGAATTCTCTCAAAGACTGAAGGCTAAGGCGAAGAAGAATGCTGTTATCAATGGTGGCATTGCTGAATCCTGTAAAGAAAACTCGAACACTACTAGTAACTGAATTATGTAACCCATCATCACTTAGGATTGTCAAATCAAATGTCCCATCTGTGGACCTTGCCAAGGAATTCAAATCACAAGTGCCTGGTGGAATATTGAAGAGGCTTGTAACTCCTGATGTAAGAGAGCACTGAAAGCTGTCTAAAACATCTGGATCCTGAGGTCTTACATTGCCTAATGTTCCTCCAGGGAACAGATTGCCATAATAATGAACAAAGATCTCTACTGTTCTAGGTTGGGATGGGTTATCATTTTGGTCTATTACTTTTATGTGTACAGTTCCTGTGGAAGACATCTGGGGAATGCCTGAGTCTCTTGTAATCACTGACAAAGAGAAATCACAGATTTGTTCTCTGTCAATCTCTCTAGTTGTGGTTAAAACCCCAGCAGTGCTGAGACTGAAATAATTGGTTGCTGTACCAGTGCTAAGCAAATAATAAAAAAATGGGCCTTGATTTGGAGGAAAATCAGGGTCAGATGACTGAAGTGTCATCACAAGCGTTCCTGCTCTGCTGTTTTCCATTATTTCTCCTTCAGTGGTAGAAAGAATGGGTCCATTATCATTTATATCTTCCAAAGTTACCAATAATGAGGCACTTCCTGTAGCTGACGGGGCTCCTGAGTCAATTGCTAGAACAGACAGATTGTACATAGGTAGTGTTTCCCGATCCAGTTCTGCAGTCACTGTAATCTGCCCTGTCTGGGGGTTAATAGAAAAGGCACCATTGTTGTTCCCATTACCAATAAAATAAGAGAACCTGTTCCAGCTAGGGAGTGAATCAGAGTCAAAGGCACTTACAAAGGTGACATGTGTTCCAGTAGGGACACCTTCACTGATTTGTATACTGTAGACATCCAAGCTGAAAACAGGGGGGTCGTTGGCATCTAGTACAGTGATATTCACAACAACTTCATCTATATCTGCACCACGAATACTTCCTGCATTTTTTGCAAGTACCTTCAGAGAGATTCTTTCTTCTTTTTCCCTGTCCAGAGGACCTGTCACATAAATCTGCCCAGTGGTGCCATCAATCTGGAAACCCTTTTTTCTGCTGTTGCCAAAGATCAGATAATGAACTTTCCCATCGGTCCCCATATCACGGTCGCTTGCGAAGACTTCTCCTATAACAGTGCCTTTAGAAGCTGCTTCAGAAACTTCAAAATAGTAAAGCTTGGATACAAATCGTGGCACATACTCATTTGTGCCCTTTAGATTAATGTTGACATTTGCAAAGCTGCATCTCTCTTCATCCGGAACATTAAAAGCTTTTATGGTTAAATGATAGCTCTGTTTTGTTTCATAATCTAAAAAGCCTTGTGTGGTGATAATTCCAGTATTGGGATCAATAACAAACAGGTCACTGTCTGAAGACTGAACTGCATAGGCAATCACAGCATTAGGTCCGGAATCAGCATCAGATGCACTGAGACGAATAACAGTTGTCCCACTAGGAGCATTTTCTAAAACACTTGGGAAGTAGTCCTCAGGACTAAAAGCTGGAGAATTATCGTTCACATCAATAACGTTCACAGTGACGGTACAGTACCCTGTTCTAGCAACCCATCCTCCATCTACAGCACTAACAGTCATCTCATGCTTTTGACATACCTCGTAATCGAGGGGCTTGGCAAGTCTTAATGCACCAGTAGATGTGTTAATTGCAAAGTGTCCAGCTTCATTGCCAGAAGAAATGTTGTACTTGATTAATCCATTCATAGCAGCATCTTTGTCCCTTGCTGACACAGTCCTAAGAACAGTTCCCACCGCATGACTCTCGGGAACAGTGATGCTCATATGACTTTGAGAGAACTGTGGAGTATGATAATTCTCCTCTGTTACCACTATCTGCACAGTTGCGTCTGATGAGAGAGGAGGATTACCCTTGTCCTTAGCTTTTACTTTTATTTGAAAAGTTTTATTCATATCATTCATGAGCGAGGAAGCTACTGAAATCCAACCTGTGTTGCTACCCAGATTAAATTTACTGGTTAGATTGTCATTTGCAATAAGGTATTCCACTTCCGAATTCAGACCAAAGTCTTTAGCATCAACTGCAGTCACTTTAATAAGTTTGGTCCCCACAGCTACATTCTTAGTAACAGGTGTAAAATACTGACTTGAGATAAACTGAGGTGCATTGTCATTACTGTCCACGATGTTGATTGTGACAGTGGTCTCACTCAGCAAAGGAGGGTTGCCTCGATCTGAGGAGGTAACTATAAAACTGTGTCTATTCAGATTGACGTTACTAGAGCCACTGGAGTTTTGGAACTTTAAAGGTTGCTTATTGAAAATCTCCCCTGTAGAAGCATTGATCCGAAAAAACTCTGATTGAGATTTTATGAAATAGAAGACTTGCCCGTTAGATCCTTCATCTGGATCGGTTGCAGATATCTGGGTTACCCTTGCTCCAACTTCATTATGTTCAGGACAGTCCAAGTAATAGGATGGTTTTGTAAATCTTGGGGAATTGTCATTGATGTCTGTTACAAATATGGTGACATCTGTGCTGACTGTCCATCCAGAGTCATGTGCTGAAACTCTGATTCTGTATCGATCAGTATCTTCCCTGTTTAGAAGTCTGCTAACTGTTATGTCCCCTGTATTGGGATTTATGACAAATGGTATATCTGTATCCTTTAGTGAATACCTGCTGATAGCGTTTAGTCCAATATCTTCATCTGATGTTGTGACCCGTGCAACAGTGTAGCCCAATGGTGCATTTTCAGGTACAAGAGCGCTGAATATCTGAGAAAACTTGGGTGCATTATCATTTTCATCTAACACATTAATAATTACCTGAACAGTTGTACTCTGAACAGGAGTACCTCTGTCAGAAGCTTTTATGGTCAGTGTGTACTGGGCCACTTTTTCTCTGTCCAAAGGTCTGACGCTTCTGATTTCCCCACTGGAATGATGGATACTGAAAGTGTTTTCCATATTGCCATTGACTATTTCATACTTTAGCTGTCCATTTGGGCCACTGTCCCTGTCCACTGCAGTTACAGTAATTATTTTAGAAGGTGAAAGGTTCTCTAGTACTTCAGCAATGAAAGGATCTCTTTCAAATAGTGGTGCATTATCATTTATGTCCACCACTGATATTTCTAATCTGGCGTATGAAGAATATGGAGGGAAGCCCATATCTCTTGCTTCAATCCAGACAACATACTTCTGTATTGCCTCATAATCTAAAGGATGACTGATGGAGAATTGCCCTGTTAGTTGGTCAATCTGAAAAGTGCTGCCAAGATTACCACTAGCAATATAGTAAGATAAGGAATCGCCTCTGGATGACAGTCCGGAAATGGAAGTGACAAAGGTGCCAACTGCTTGGTTTTCAGGAAACATGAAACTGTGCTGTTCAGCTTGAACTTGAGGAAAATCTACTTTGTTCACAAATCTTACAGTCACGGTTGTGGAATCTGTCTTTGGGTGCAAGCCGCCATCTTTCACATTCACAGTAAAGGTCATTTCAGAAGTCCCAGAGAGTCGGTCAGCAGCCATAATAGCTCCTCGTGTTGGATCAATGTGAAATTTCTCAGAATGCTTTCCAGAAAGTGAATAGTGCAGCTCAGCATTAGGTCCAACATCAGCATCTGTAACTGTTACAGCAAATACAAAGGTACCTGCAGTGGAAAGAAAAAGGATAGGATTAATGTTCTCTCTGCACATTGGCCTAAATACAACATAACTCCTTTAGAATGAAAATGCTCAGCATAACAGCTGTGATGGAGTGCAGCAGCTGTTTGTAAATTCAGCATTCTGTACCATCCCACACTAATTCTGAAAATGTGCAATCAGTAGTGCAACTGGTCTTGCACTAGCAGATTAACATGTTTGCACAATGGCCATGCTGTTGTTGCTATATATACAGTACCATCAAGTCACTCGCAATTTATGGTGATCCTCCATGATCATGTCTTGTAAGCACAATGTCTTGGGTACATTTACTGATTCAATCCATTCATCTTTGGTCCTCCTCTTTCCCTACTGCCTTCCACTTTTCCTAGCATTATTGTCTTTTCTAGTTTGTTTTGTATTCCCAATATACGATAGTCTCAGTTTAGTTGTTTTTAGTTCCATGGGCTTGATTCGATCAAGCACCCAAATATTTGTCTTTCTGGTGGTCCACAGTATTAAGAAAACTTCTCCCCGGTGCCTCATATGACACTGACAAATGCAACAGTGTTCATAATTTGGAGCATTTTCTTCTTTTCATAGTAAAAAATCAATTAGGTGGGAAGTCAGATGTGCAATGGCTGGTGATATACACCAATGTAAATGCATGTAGTATTTGTGAAGTTTTCCACATTCTAGATATCTAAAAATCTGAAACTGGGCACTTATTAATATGCCTCATGATGGATGAAGCATCTTATCTTTAGATATTTCCAAGACACTCTTATTATTCGTCATCGTTTAGTCGTGTCCGACTCTTTGTGACCCCATGGACCAGAGCACGCCAGGCCCTCCTATCTTCCACTGCCTAGTTGTGTCAAAAATCTGAAACTGGGCACTTATTAATATGCCTCATGATGGATGAAGCATCTTATCTTTAGATATTTCCAAGACACTCTTATTATTCGTCATCGTTTAGTCGTGTCCGACTCTTTGTGACCCCATGGACCAGAGCACGCCAGGCCCTCCTATCTTCCACTGCCTCCCAGAGTTGTGTCAAATTCATGTTGGTTGCTTCAATGACATTGTCCAACCATCTCATCCTCTGTCGTCCCCTTCTCCTCTTGCCTTCACACTTTCCCAACATCAAGTTGGCTGGGAGAATCAATGTATATCCATCAGTGGATTTTTTTAAAATGACATTGAAGCATTTGATGAGTTTTAGAACAAACATGGATTGACATATGTGAAAAGACCATAAGCTTTAGAGCAGGGTTCAATGAACATTGTTATATAAAAGCGTATCATCTTCAAAATTCACAGTATCTCGAATTTTAAAAAGTAGACTGTTTAGATTAAATATGCAAGACAAACTTGTGCACATGTTATTCTGATATCTGAAGCATCCATGCATTGTTCTGTCTCTGAAACCTTTATTCATTCAACCTACTGTATCTACATGATCAGTAACGTACTGAATGCAAACTGTAAGCCGCCCGGAGACCTTTGGGTAGTGTGGGCAGCATATAAGTTAAATAACTAAAATAAATAAACTCTTGCAATTTGAAAGTCCAAAATGGCACAGTTCTTGTCTTTCATATTATTGGAACACTACTCAGTAGAATTTGTACTTCTCTCCTTTATTATCTTGTACAGTTAGTGTTCTGTTAATATTACATTTCTATTATTAGCTTACCTGAACTTGTTGGTGAGGGAATATGGGTGACATAAGGATGATGCTGAAATTTGGGGGGATTGTCATTGATATCTGCAACAGTGACAAGAACACTAGCAGAACTGGAAAGAGGCTTTGGAAAACCACCATCCTTTGCCACAATGATCAAAGTGTAATTCTCCTTAGCTTCTCTGTCCAATACAGCACTTGTGATGATCTGGCCAGTGGAAGGGTTGACTGTGAACTGTGAATTTCCACCAGTAAGACTATAGCTGCATAAAAGCAAGAAGAGAGACATTTTACATTTTCCTGTGCAAAATATGCTTTTTATTTCTATTTCTACAAATGTTGTATCTTTGAAACAGAGAATCAGAGTGCTTTTATTTAAACAGTCTTTTGACATCTTAAATATGGTATATAATCTTTCACTCACTTCATCAGCTGCATGAATTAGGTGGCTACAGGCCATGACAGCTTATGCCAAATAGATGTCTTATCTTTAAGATGCTACAACGTTATCGGTTGTTTTTGTTCCAACAGACTAAGCAGCTACCTCTTTTTTGAAAACATTTTAGAAAATTATACTCTTCCTTTCCATCCAAAATGATCTATAATCCAGATTAACATCAATAGAAAACAAAATATACGGAGGTTTAAGTAAGCCACAAGGTAGGGTGCTGCACAAAATTATGAATACTGTAAATTTGTTGCAAAGGTTCCTAGCTCCATTAATTTTACTTATTTAATTTTTTTGGAAAATGTGTGTGGCACCATTCCTGCAAAACAACTAAGAATCATTTCAGGGTTGCTAAAATATTTTACAGTCAAAAGCAGAATTCTGAGCGGGGTGCAAAAACTAACTGGGAGGCAGTGAAACTGATGCAAAACCAGACTGACATGTTTTGTGCAGCATGCTCCAAGTAATGTAATTCCTGTGGTCACTGGGCTAGTTGAATTTTCTGAACCCTTTTAAACTGCAGCCCCACAAACAACATTATGAAAGCGCAGTAGCCACATCTTTTGTGTCCAGACATTGTTGAAATGATCTCTGAATATCAGTGTAAAAAGAAATATGGCTTTTATCCCGGTAAGACTCAGTATTATAGAGAGATAAGCACTGACTGCAAAGATCTATGGATAATTTCAGGATTACAGACTAAACGGATAAACTAAAATATACTGGTTTAGTTACAGGTATGATTGTGAACCTATACTTAAATTTATTGATTCTACTCTACAGAATAGAAGGATGGTAGTTATTTATTTATTTATTTATTTATTTGTTTTATATCCCACCCATCTGGTATATTCTGCCACTCTGGGCGTAATATCGTAATGACTGGCTTTATAGCTTTCTTCCACAAAGGGAAGGAATAAAATTAGAATTGGATAGCAGTATACACTTCATGAACCTTAAAATATAAGGTTGCACACATATAAGCTTCTGTAGAGGTATCTACACCCACAGCAGCAACAGAGTTTGAAATACTCTGGAGGAAAAATGGTATAATAATTGTCTAGAATTATACGATCTCCTTCTTATATTGACACAGAGTGAGAAATGAGATTTCAGGCACACAAAATATTTGAAATATTGCTAGTCTGTAGTTAGCTGAAATGAATGGTAACAAGCAATCACCAACAGCCATCGATCATAGGAAAATAGCGTAGGCATCAAAGTGATTGCTTAATTATTATTTAAAAGGAAAATAATGACTTTAGAATGTAGCACTATTTATAATGTGTAGATAAGAGTGGTGGAGGGATTTTCTGCATCACAAAATTTTCAAGTGACTATCACTGTTGATACTATGATTTTGGAATTGACGACCAGATTACTTTTTGCTACTAAAAAAAGCACTTGATTTCTCACCTTTCCACAGAAGCAAAAACATCTCAGAGCAACTGAATTTTTAAAAAACTTTTGTTTTGTACAGTATGAGAAAAATTACGAGTACTCATTACACCCTTATTCTTGATAATCCTTAGAATAACAGATGTACATGAGGGTCAATTTCATGCTAATTAGCAAGTCGTAATCACATCACCCAGACTTGATTGAATCTGCTTTAATTGTCATATAAAGGACTACTTGCTTCTTTTGTTTCCAAAACTATCTTAAAGCATTGTTACAACAAACAGCAACTCAATTTTGAAAAAATAAAAATGATACTGAAAATTATAACAATAGCCACAAGCTACAATTTCTAACCTGTAATGAAATTTGACTTTTATTACTGCTTATTTGAAGGACAGATGTTCAATGCAGGATGAGCTTTTTGTGGATTTGCTGCAAAAGTATGAAGGCATTATTCCATTTCTTATGGAAAAAAGGAAGACTTTCATGACATTTTCAGAGGATCAGAGGCTTGGTAATTGGCATTTATCTTACTCCAATTTATGAGGTGGCTGGAAGCATTTTCTTTGTTTAATCTTTCTTTGAAAGCCTCATGTCCATTTCTAGCTTTCAAAGGGTTTTAACCGTAAAAGCAGTTTATGTATTTAAAAATAGATATACATACATACGTATATATGTATAAAGGCAGAGAGATACTTCTGTAGGACATAATATAAACTGTCTGTGAAATTGTTTTTATCTTCAAAAGCTTTTTGCTTTCATATACAGTATTAAGCCTTCGGTCTAAGGCAGAGGTTGTCAACCCCTGGTCCGTGTCCTGTGCCAGTCCATGGCCTGAGTCAGACTGGGCCGCAGAGACAGACCTCCCGCCCCCACTCCCCTCCTCACAGCTGCTTTGCGCACACGCGTGCATGCTAGCACCAGCATGAGCGCTCCCCCACCCCTTCATGCATGTGTCCAAGTACCAGCGCGAGGGGATGGGCGGGCATGCAGGCACTCCTGTGCATGTGCAAAGGGATGGGGGAGCACTCACGCTGGTGCTGGCATGCACACGTGCATTCCCCCACCACTTTGCGCATACGCCTGAGAGTATGTGTGCGAGCGTGGGGGTGTCCCGCTTTCCTCAGAGGCTCAGGTGGTCTGCGGTCCCAAAAAGGTTGGGGACCACGGGTCTAAGGGACACATAGGTGGGATTAAGACCATGAAACTCAGTTATAAGTAGACTTCCACAGGATTGTCATATAATTCTACAACTTACATTCATTTCTCTAGCAAAATATCAACTGATTTCAAGAACTTCACTTCAAGATTTCTTTTAATTATAAAGAATTCTTAAAATGTATCACTGAAAACTGGTACGGGAAGATGCGTAGATAAAAGCCAATACATGATATATATATTTTCAAGTTTATTGTTAGGAATAACAGGACTGTGCACTTTGTCCTTTCAGTTCTTCAGATGTTTAATCCTAGGATATGAATGTATCAGTCAACTCCATTTTCCAATGCCATTTCCACAAGGCTATAAACCTTTTCAAAAGGTAATCTTAAATTGAATAAATAGATAATTAATTTATTAGTTTAAAATGTCATCACACTACCATTTCATAATATTTAATCATTTCCATGAAAGTGCTAGGCCTGTCAAATTATTAAGAAAATAACAGTATCCTATTTTAAATATTTTGTTCCTTTGTGCTTCCACAAAAATAAAAAAATCTTATTCCACTTCTTTTAGAAAAGTTACAAACTGCCCCCCACAAAAGTGACACAAGTATTTTAGCTCTATTTGTACCTTCCAAGCAAAAGTAAGCCCATCTTTATATTTTCTCAATGTGAATGAGAACAGAATACTCATATTGACATTGCCATTTAAACTTTTAGTATTTTTATTTTCAAATAGTCCAGAATGGGGCTTCCCAGGTAATACAGGAAGAATCTCTATACAAGGCATGTTGCAATGAATAAAGCCAAGCTTCCCATACTTTATAAATAGTGCAGTGAAACCAATTTAATTGCTGCACAGATTGTTCCTTTGTATGCTTAACTTTGAAAGGTTACTATTAACTTTGATGGAAAGGTTACAAACTTGCTCATCAAAATCAAGACAAATACTGTCACTACATGACAAGATATGAACCGCTATATAAATTTGCCTTTCATATTTTATATCTACAATCCATGAATTTATACCAGAGACAACTGTAGCACATCAATATAGATATAGCTATATCTGCCTTCATTTTGAACATAGGTGTAAGGTAACAGTGTGGTGCTAAATAGCCACTTACTTACTTACTTACTTACTTACTTACTTACTTACTTACTTACTTACTTACTTACTTACTTACTTACTTACTTACTTACTTACTTACTTAGTATCCCGCCCATCTAGACTACGTCTACTCTGGGCGGCTGACAGTAAAAACATGAAAGCAACATATAAACAATTAAACAACAATTCAAATCAATAATATTGATTTTAATACTATGGTCTACAATCAGTAGACTATAATATTACATGTTCTACTGACTGTAGAATGGCAGCTGGATGTGTCAAAACCATATAATCGGCTTACAAAGGCCAGTTTGTAGTAACTACTTGGAAGAGAATATGCAAATGGTTCATAGTATGCCTTGTGCACTGACTGTCCTTTGGCAATACTGTTATTTTTGACATTAAAAAAACCTTATAATTCCTACGTGTGTCATATGACCATGTAAATTTGGGTGGTTGAAAATCTTAAAACTGCAGAGCTGAAAAGGACCCTGTGGATCCAGTCCCTGTCAGGGAGGTACAATGGGGAATTGCAACCAGATACCTAAACCACTGAGCTATCTAAGATTGCCACATTCACAATTCACTATTTATTGCTTGGCTTAAAAAGATTTCTAGAGCAACTTTTAGCATAAAGTCTCTTAGGTGTTGGAGTATGCAGATCAATTGTGTCCCAGTATGCAGTGGGTGATTCTGCCAATCACTCAGTTCTACCCTGCTATTGGGGTGCTATTGTGTATCAATCACTTCCTGACCATCCTCTCTCTTGTGTGCCCTCTTCCTTGAAGAAAGGCCCTTTTCCAAGATGGAGATTGCCTGAGCACATGCTATCTGATTGTTCTCTCTCCATCCCCACTTGCATCCATGCCATCCAGCTTTAGGGAGCGGTTTACCCAGTTTAGAAACATTCTACAAAGGTAAAGAAACTTGCATGGAATATGTAAGACAAATGCTTTCTTTTTCACTCAAATGCTATATTTTGTGCTCTCCATCCCCACCTAAAGTCTGTAGTTAATAAGTTTTGTGGCGCAGTGGTTAAAACGCTGTACTGCAGCTAAAACTGTGCTCACGACCTGGGGTTCAAATCCCAGGTAGCCGGCTCAAGGTTGACTCAGCCTTCTATCCTTCTGAGGTCGGTAAAATGAGTACCCAGCTCGCTGGAGGGGGGGGCAATGTGTAGCCTGCATAATTAAAATTGTAAACCGCCCAGAGAGTGCTTGAAGCGCTAAGGGGCGGTATATAAGCAGCACGCTTTGCTTTTTGCTTTGCTTTTCTAAAGTTCTTACAAGTTAGACCCATGTTTTTTGACTCTGTACTTAATTTAACTTATTGAGGATGATTGGTCAGAACACATGATGATCTCTGACATTAAGATGATGGAGAACCAAAATGTAAATCCCAAACAAACTGGCTAAATCACATTGGTAGGGACAGGATATTGCCAGAAGAAGCTAACTTACTCTACCTACTACCTGCTATGAGAGGCCCTTGCTACAATGCTGCTATTTGTAGTTTCAGAGTCAAGATGTTCCAAAATTCATGTGTTCCTTGTGAATATCTGGATAATTGACAGAATAGATCTATTGAATCAGGGAGGTTACAGGATATTAGCATTGACTTATCAAGTCCCATTCATTTCAGAGGGTCTACTACACCAGGAACTCTTATTTGAATTTTCTCCAAACATTGTTGATAAAGCACAACAATCAAATCCTAACTGAAGTGTAACCCAAGGTAAAAAGGTGGATCTTTATAAAACACCAGTTGTTTTGAACCAGTTGTATTTGGACATTCAGCACAACGCCAGTTGTTTTGAACCAGTTGTATTTGGACTGAAATTTCACAAAAACATTCAGCACAACATTAAATCTTCAAGCTTTTGTTAAAAATCAATTCAAGGACTCTGGAAAAACAGGTCCTAAAGTGATACATCAAACAGCCTCAGAAGCACCACAAGCACAGATCATACCTTATGATAGCATTCATTGAAGCATCAGAATCTGAGGCATTCACAAGCAAAACGTCCGTCCCTGTAGGTGCATCTTCCGGAATGGTTTTAGAATATATATTAAAGGCAAATTTGGGAACGTTGTCATTGACATCATCTACTTTGACAGTAATAGTACCAGTACCAGTAAGGGCAGGACTTCCTAGGGAAATAAAAGATATTGAAATGCCAGAGGTTATGTGAGCTACACTACTAATACGGGATCTGTCACTCTTCATTTATTCTCTCACATTTAAACATGTCACAGTTCACAGGGCGAGAAAGTCAAATCCATGCAAAGAACAAGGTCACTTTTGCTTAAAAGGAGGACATCTGGACTCAACGGATGAAGTTTCACAGGAAAAGTTTTGAACCGCTTATTATTTAGCAAAAGATTGGCTGTTTGCAAAGAGAAATTTATAACAATTCACCTATAGTATTCTGGACAAGTTTAAAGACTGAGATTGACCATTCAGTAAAACTTTGGTGTTTCTTCACATTCTCAGCATATACATGAGGAGGGGAGTGCTCCAGTACGACTTCTCCAATGTCACTGCTATTGTCAACTTATGTATGTAGAAAGTGTGTGTGGGGGGGAGGCTTTCACATAAAAAAGAAGCCTGGAAAATAAGACTTCCTATTCATGTGGAAAGCCATAATGGATATAAGAATCACTCTCCTTTGGATGCACAACCCTCTAGTAATGGGAAGGTAAAGGATGTGACAATAGAAGGGGCAGGGATACAATACTCTTCTCCTTCTGCAATTGTCCTTACAAGTGTATTGGACATGGCAAAGAATGCCGGAATGCGGCTTGGACCACCAATTGTCCTTACAAGTGTATTGGACATGGTAAAGAATGCCGGAATATCTGATATAAATACAGTGGTTCCTTGCAAGACGAATGCCTCGCGGAACGAAAAACCCGCAAGATGAATGTTTTTTGCAATCGCTGTGGTGCCTCGCAAGACGGCTTCTTCTATGGCCGTGCTTTGCAAGATGAATGTTTTTCACAAGACTGTTGCCTCGCAAGACGAATGGATTATTTTCATCTTGTGAGGTTCCCATAGGAATGCATTGCAATGCATTCCTATGGGAAACTGCTTTTCACAAGACTAAAATTTTGCAAGACAGCGCTACTCACGGAACAAATTACTTTCATCTTGCGAGGCACCACTTGTATTGGCAAAAGAGAACGTTATATACCAATGTGTGCTGCACAACTGAGATGGACACTTTTGTTATAGAAAAGTTAAGAAAGAATGTGGTGATCTGAGGCAGAAAGGCAGCAAAGGAAATTCCTGATGGATGCCCTGTAGAATTCCAGATAGAAATTTAAAAGGAGAATATCACATATGAAAACTCTGAGAAGGTAGAACCAACTAGATGGCAACAGAATACATGGGTCAGAAAATGATAACTATCTTTCCTGTCTTACAACCACATCACCATGGATAGGTCCTCATGCAGCAGTTCTGACACACCAAAAGAAGTTGGCTGAGTCCTTTTTCAGCATACAACAACAACAACAACAACAACAACAACAACAACAACAACAACGGTTGTGGATTACTACAAATACAGCAGGTAGCAGAGGAGGAAAAAAGGAGCCTAAATGATTATATCAGTACAAGCAGACAAAAATTACTTAAGGCGGTAAAAATGGAGAATATTTTGGAAACAACAGAAATAAAGGTCTAAAATAAGAAAGAACAATTTGAAAATAAATTAAACAGTTGGGAAAATAAACCACTGCATGGACAACACCTGAGAAATATAGATAGAAAGCATGATCATAATTCAACATGAGCATGGCTAAATCTGGGGACCCTTAAGAAAGAAACTGAAAGTTTGATCTTTGCTGTACAAGAACAAGCACTCCAAACTAACATGATGAAAGCTAAGATCCAAGGAATTACTGCTAACAGCAAATGTTGACTCTGCCAAGAAAAAGATGAAACTGTGTCACACCTCAGCTGTGAATATCCAAAGATGGCACAAACAAATTACAAAATTAGATATGATAGAATGGCAAAGTTAGTGCACTGGTCATTATGGGGGAAAATCATTTGCCAGCCTCCAAAAACCCATGGGAACGTCAGGTAGAGAAGGTGTCAGAAAATGAGGAAGTCAAGGTCTTGTGGGATTGCCAGTTCCAAACTTATAGACACCTTGAACATAACACACCAGACATAGCAGTAATAGAATGAAGAAATGTCTGTATCATTGACATTGCAATTCCAGGGGATGCCAGAGTTCAAA